TTTAGAAGAGTCAAAAACTTACACACAGCACCTTTAATTGTAATCAGAGGACTAAAACAAAACCTTCCTCCCATTTATTATTAAATATTATTTCCAGTCGCAAAGTGCTTTTTGGAAGATGCCGGACTGTACTGTAGCACCAAAATAGCAGCATTATAAATAGTATCGCTAAAACATTTAGTGGCAGATTACGCAAGTACAAGCGCAGATCTAAAAATAGTATTAAAAAAATGTTATGCAATTTTCTCTGTATCAGTCTAAATAGCTCTTTTATTTGCAGACACAACAAAGTGACAAGCTTATGTCTGATACACTTCAGCTGTCGCTTTTCCTTAGAATAAAAGCATGATGGGTATCAGCTATCACCTGACCTCATCTGTAAACCCTTCAGAAAAACAAGAGGCTGCGAACAATGACAAAAGAGGGATGGAGAAAAGCTGCTTTACCTCTCCGGCTGTCCATGACGTACGTCTCAATAATTGCGCTTTTTTTACAGATGTCATCGGCCATTGAAGCGCAGCTGACCTCCAAGTGTTTCACCTGAACAGACGACACAGAGATACAATCTGCAATAAACTGCCACACACCACGGCCACACAAACGCCTGATAAACCTGATATGGAGACACACAGGTAAGGATAGTGCAATCACTGCCAGATAAAGATAGCTTTCGAAAATGCTTTTCACCTTTAGTCAATATCCCATGATATTCAACAGGTTTTATTATTAATAAATATCAAAATGGTTCTTAAATAGATTATGCATTTAAAATTGGGTAATTTTATCTATAAGACCAAATAAATGTTGCAGTTTTTTTTATAATATTTTAAACATTTATCTTTTCATTTATTAAGAACTTCTATTTAATTATGGTTAAAGGATTTCATCTTTTTCATAAAACTTAAGAAAAATAATTTAATTTAATAATTTCGATCTTGTGTTCAGGTTTATGGGGTTTAAATGTTATAAGATGTAAAATGCAATTTTGTTGTAATTTAAAATGATATGTATATACCTGGTGAAAATATTCACCAGGTTTTATTATCAATACATTTCACATTATTAACTCGACCGATGATGCATTTCATTTGGGGTAGTTTTACATATAAAACCAAATACAAGTTGTTGTTTTTTATAATCTTTAGATCTCTTTTGATCAGCCTTATTATCAGATTTACTCATGGTTTTAATTAAACGAAATATGCTTGATTGCCTCTTTGCTATTTTGAAAATACAGATATTATTTAGGTAGGCCACTATGCCATTATTTATTTTCGCTGCTCACTGTGCACGAAACAACAATCACCAACCAATTAGAGTGAATGTAAACATAAGAGGATTGGTTAAAAAGATTGTTAACGTCATGTGCAAGCACGCACCTGCTCTCACACACACACACACTCACATGCGCACGCGCACACACACACGTTAAGTGCCATACGTATCAAACTCACAGCACACACTGACATTAAACTTTCAAATTAAGGCGAGGGCCCGTGAGTTTAAAACCCCTGCTGTAAATCAAAAGACAAATATACAAACCTGTTTAAAAGCAATAAATTTGTATTATATAATGTATTTTTATTAATTTAAATTAATTTATTTTATTTTTATTTATTAATTACTTTTACAAAAATATTTAAAGAATTTAATGTTTTAATTTTAATTTAATTGAATGTTTGTTGCCATTTAAAATCCTTAAAACAAAAAAAATAATTAATGAAATTTGCTAATGATATAATGACAATAAATAGTCTTGAAAAAATCTTGAAAGTCTTGAAATCTTGAAAAGCTACTTAATATTTTTTGCAAAAACAATACATTTCAGCATTATTAAATGTATAATAGTTCAAAATTAAAAATTTAACAGTTCTAAAATGAAACCACACTAAAATTATAAATGTCTTTACTGTCTTTTAATCAATTTAATTAATTGTTGATGAATAACATGATGATTTGCTATTGAAAAAATGTTGCGTTCATATCAATTTACATAAAGCAAAAAAATGTACATAACATATCAACATAACATACAAAATATACATTGCTGTATTTAAATTTATAACAGGAGCACTTGACATCATTAGCATTCATTAGATGTTCATCTCACAGGATTGCTTACCAATGAAAATCTGCAAACTAATTTTAATTCAGTCTCATATATGAAAAAAAATATTTCACATAAAAAAAAAACATTATTGAACTATGCTGTTTAAGGAAACCCTAACCCCTAACCCTTAGCTTATAATAATTAAAAATAATTATATATGTCTTTACATCACTTTTAATCAATTTAATTAACTGTTGATGAATATGATTGTTTGCTTTAAAAAATACTTTCCTAACACTGCATTCATATCAATTTACACATATAAAGCAAAGAATAATCAACATAACCATACAAAATATACATTATGTTGTATTTAAATTTATAACAGCATCACTTAATTATATTAGCATGATTATCATTTAACAGAATTGCTTACCAGTGAATTTCAGCAAACTAATGTAAATTCAATCTCGTATCTGAAAAATAATACTTCCTATAATAACCATTGTTAAATTGAGCTGCTTTAAGAAACCATGAGTTTGACCTTGAGGTATCACGTCTGTTTGACTAAGAAAGGGTTTACACTTGTCAAAGGCCTAACTACATATTTCCATTCAAATAGTCACTAACCAAAACCGATCGATTCAAATGGGAAAACATCGATGCCTGCATGCATATTTGATGATGTGAAGACACAGTTCAGCACTTATAAGCCCCTCTGGAAAAAGCTTGCTGCAGTGCTGCAAACCTGGGCTTCTCCTGCAGAGTTAAAGTTTTGCTAGTAACCCGAGACTGCAGGGATTGATTCAACGCTCATACTGTACCTTCTCCTCCAGCATCCACTTCTCCTGCTGGACCTCAGCAAGCCTCTGGAAGAGCTCACTAACCTCATCGTCTGAAAGGTCAGCTGGCCGTTGAGACTGAGGGCTGCTGGTGTTTGACTGTTGAAAGAGAAAAAATAATAATCATTAATTAAAAAAATAATATAAACTCATTGCTTAAAAAAAGTGATAATCTAACTAAAAATTGAACATAACTATTATTAGTGTGTTACTACTATATGATGACTAAGATGAGTGTTTCAACGCAATTGAAGGGACAGCATAGCCCAAAATCAAAATGTCACTAATAATACATTCATTTATTCATTTTATTTTCAGCTTAGTCCCTTTATTAATCAGGGTTGCCACAGCAGAATGAACCACCAACTTATCCAGCAACTTTTTTACGCAGTGGATGCTATTCCAGCTGCAACCCATCACTGGAAAACACCCATAAACTCTCATTCACACACATTCACTATGGACAATTTCGAGCCGTGATAAATTAAGTAATTGTTTAAAAAATAAATAAATAAATAAATATATATAAATATATATAAATATATAAATCAAATAAAATCTTATACAACTATAGTATAAGATGATTACGATGAGTGTTTCGGCTACAGAATTAAAGGGACAGTATACCCCAAAAATGAGGGCATCTGCTGCATAAAACATGTGCTGAATAAGTTGGTGGTTCATTCTGCTGTGGCAACCCCTGATAAATAAGAGACTAAGCTGATAGAGAATTAATGGGTGAATGTTTCACAGAATACATAAAATTAGCACTAATGTTTTGCACTAAAATGAAAAACATTTTTGGTAATTGAAACAAAACAAATGTTTTAGATTTAAGATAAAGCACTAAAATGACAAATAAATGAAACTGAAATAAAAAAAAAAACTAAATAGAAATTGAAATCATAAAATATAAAGTTATTAAATATTCAATCATATACTGAATTTAAAATAAAATATTAAATGTAAATAAAAAGCACACAAAGCACAACTAAAACTTTAAAAACTATTTGCAATTATTTAACAATCAAACCCGATTTGTTTAAACTATTTAATGTCTTTTCATAAAGACATCCTATCAATCATTTCCCCATTAACCAACTATGGGATGAGAGTCATACGGAAAATTACAGCCACCTTCTATTCTGTCCTTCAGTTGGTTTCAAGGAGCTGAAAACAATCTAATCAAATGAAGGTCGGCTCATCCCGAAGACTCCTGTGTGTACTATTTCTATCCCATGAGTCTCATTTTCCCTGAGGCTTAAAAAAAAAAGATCTTCCCTCACTAAAGGATGATGACAACTCTCAATAAACACATTTGAAGCATGACGGATATGCTTTATGCTTAAAACTAACAGTGTAAAACAGACATCTTGACATGCTGTGCTTTGATAAACGCATGTGAAAGTCAACTAGATGATTTATCAATGACGCTCTTTTAAAGTGTTCTGCAAGTAGGGAATGCAATGTATAAAACTACATAAATTTTAAAATAGTAAACACCTTAAAGGGATCATTCACCTAAAAATTAAAACATACTATGTACTCACCATCAAGTGGATTCAAACCTTTTTTAATTTCTTTCTTTTGTAAATAAATTAAGAAGATGTTTTTAAAAATGTTAAGAAAAAACAAATACTATTAAAGTCAATGGTTACAGGCTTCCAGCATTTTTCAAAACAGCTTCTGAATAAGAACGAAAGAAAAACTCATAAAGGTATAACAGTATTTTCATTTTTGGGTGAACAATAAAGTTTCTTATCTTCTTTTTTGATTGAAGAATTTTGAAAAATGTTAAAAACCTGTAACCATTGACTTCCATAGTATCTTTTTTTTCTTCTATGGGAGCCAATGGTTAGAGACTTTTGACATTTTTCAAAATACCTTCTGAATACAAAGAAACCCATAAAGGTAAAGGATAACAAATTTTTCATTCTGTAGACCAAAAAAAAGAAGATATTTTGAAAAATGTTAAAAACGTGTAACAATTGACTTGCATAGTAGGAAAAACAAATACTAAAAAAGTCAATGGTTACAGGTTTAAACATTTTTAAATATCTTCTGAATAAAAAGAACAAAACTTATAAAGGCAAATAAGGGCATAATTTTCATTTTGGGGTGAACTGTCCCTTTAAAGATTCTTTTTTTTTTCTTTTTTTTAAGTTAGAAACCTGTAATTATTGACAGTGGTTACAGGCTTTCAACATTTTTCAAAATATCTTCTGAATAAAAAAAAATCCTTAAAGGTAAATGAAAGATTTTTCATTTTGTAGAACAAAAATTAAAAAAATTTGAAAAATGTTTTATTATTAAAAATGAATAAATCTCTAACCATTGGCTTTCATAGTAAGAAAGAAACACTAGATTAAACAACAAAAAAAATCTTTTGAATAAGAAGAAAGAAACTCAAAGGCAAATTTTCACAGAATTTACATTTTTAGGTAAACTATCCCTTTTAAGTTTCTTTCTTCTGTAGAACAAAAAACATATTTAGAAAAATTATAGAAACCTGTAACCATTGACTTCCTTAGTAGGAAAAACAAATACTATGAAAGTGAATAGATACAGGTTTGCAGAATTTTTCTAAATATCTTCTGAAGAAGAACGAAACTCAAAGATAAATGAAGACAGATTTTTCAAAAATCTAACATTTTGAAAAACATTAGAAACTTGTAACTATTGACTTCCACAGTAGGAAAAAACAAATACTATGGCAGTGAGTGGCTATACAGTAGGTTTCCAGAATTTATTTTTAATATCTTCTTCTGAAGAAGAAATAAACTGAAAAGCACAGTAAATGATGACAGATTTATCAGTCTGTTGAACAAAAATGAAGATAATTTGAAAAATGTTAAAAATCTAATAAAAAAATACTATAGAAGTCAATGGTTACAGGTAACAGTTGAACATTTTTCAAAATATCTTCTAAAAAAGAAAGAAACTCGTAAAGATTAAAGATGACAGAATTTTAATTTTTGCATGTCCCTTTAAAGTTTCTGATTTTCTTCCCTGACCCACACTCATGTCCCTTAAGATAGTTCCAGCATGTCACGACAACCATGCTTTTCTCCCCTGTTTATTCACAGGCACAGTATATTTATGGGATCCTGGGGTATATTAATAGCTTGGAGAGGACTCAAATGCTCTTGGGAGCTGCAGCAAAAAGAAAGCGTCAAGCGTTGAAAGAGTTTTTGCGAGGGTCATTGGCCCCCAGTGGGCGGCTGGATTTACCTTATTGGTGCTGGGAGCCGAAGCCCCGTCTTTCATGATATCTCTGTAGCTGAAGGAGGAAATGCTGCTGCTGTCGCCTGTCTGCTGCGTTCGACTCGGAGAACTGATCTCTGACAAAACCAGCTCCTCCAGACCTGCAAACACACACATTATGAAGAAACAGGAATACATTAAAAAAGAATACAGGACGTAACGCTGCAGGTGAGCTGGATAATGGTTAGATAGCAGCAGGGTTTTTTTGAACTCCTTTCATTTTCACCACAGGGACACTGACTTTTGTAATAACTTATAAACTGTTGTATTTACTGATGTAGTTATTTTCGAGAAGCAAATTCGTAGTATCTCGTAGTACAGAATAATAACTAATGGTATATGCCAAAATAAATGCAATATGCTTCGTGTAGATATTTTCAAAAAGAAGCCAGTTTTTCCCCAGTACTGGGTTGCGGCTAGAAGGATATCCGCTGCGTAAAGCTCATGACGAAAGAGTTGATGGTTCATTCCATTGTGGCGATTCCACATTAATAAATGACTAACCACACTTAAAGTCAGAATTATTAGCCCCCTTTTGATTTTTTGTTTATTTTTTTAATATTTCCTAAATGATGTTTAACAGAGCAAGGACATTTTCAAAGTATGTCTGATAATATTTTTTCTTTTGGATAAAGTCCTATTTGTTTTATTTTGGCTAGAATAAAAGCTGTTTTAAATTTTTTTTTAAACATTTTAAGGTCAATATTATTTGCCCCTTTAGGCTATCTTTTGTTTCGATAGTCTACAGAGCAAACCATTGTTATACAATAACTTGCCTAATTACCCTAACCTGCCTAGTTAACCTAATTAAACTAGTTAAGCCTTTAAATGTCACTTTAAGCTGTATAGAAGTGTCTTGAAAAATATCTAGTCAAATATTATTTACTGTCATCATGGCAAAGATAAAAGAAATCAGTTATTAAAACTATTATGTTTAGAAATGTGTTGAAAAAAAGTCTTCTCTCCGTTAAACAGAAATTGGGGAAAAAATAAACAGCTAATAATTCTGACTTCAACTGTATAGTGAATGAACTATGTTCCAAAGACTAATAAGCTGCTTATAGAGTGCAATATAAGGATTCATAGGTGTATTAATGACATGATGACTGTATGGAATAGTTCTCTGATACCTTTACAGAGTCTTCAATAAGCAGAATAAAACTCAGGGGAAACAAAGAATCGATCATATATGACAAATACAGTCAACCAAGACAAATACAGTCAACCTAAAGTCAAGTCAACCTAAACTTTGAGTTGGTTTATCAATGCTGCAAACTGTTTTTAAAATGTGACAAAAGTGGGTGTTAACCACAGCTGGTTTGGACACTGCTGATTGGGGAGAATAAAAGTGCTCTACTTTGCTCTACTTTTTATAGTATAGCCTGACACAAACAAAAAGGTCACACATTTAATCTGGTACTGAGTACAGCCTAAAAATGTTTATATACAGAGGTTAAATCACAGACTTTACAATAAGACCCTTTCCACCTTGCCAAGTAAAAATTGTGACTTTAACTGAAAAACGACACGTTTTCACGTCTGTAATTTTAAATTTCAGTTAGAATGATGTCCTACGCCTCGTTTACACTAATAGATTTAGTTTTAAAATGCATAAGTTTTGCAATTGAAAGGCTTCTGTCCGCAATACCACTGCATTTTCAATTCCCGAAAATGGAGCGTTTTGAAAACACTGAAGAGGCCGATTTCATTTAAAACACTGCTGCTCCGTGTTAGTGTGGATGGGGGAAAACGGAGACATCTGAAAAGAGAGGCGGGGCTGGAGACATTCAACTATCTGATTGGGGCTTTTCACACAATATCAAGTAAACAAAGTTGAGTCTTGCATCCTCTTCTTGTAAATTTAGACTTCGCAAGTTTGATATGGAAAACAAACTCCTGAGGACACGTCTGTAGGCCTACTTATAATGTCATTCACACATTACGCTGGCCACGTTGCTTCACCATCTTAGCAATAAAAAGAAAACATGATATAAGGAACTGCCTATTTTTATTGTGACTTAACTGACACCAAATGTTCACTGTATGCATATTTATAACAAAACGGAGCCTAATGTTACTGCCTCCTTTCATTTTCAGCGAAAATATGAAACATAGCCTCTCTTATGCTAAATATCGGTTTTAATAATCAATAATGGCCATAATGAAAGTATAACATATAACAATATACAATAAGTTTATACAATATACGAAACAAAGGAAAGCAATCAGTCAAACGTGCAGAATCAGTGTATGTGGTTAAATAAATTAATATATTATCTTATATTTGCTAAATGCGTTACCTGAGAACAAGTAATAGATTCAAAAGACCGAAGAGTTGTTGTATATAGACAAGATTAATAAAATATCAAGTTTAATAACTATATTGAGATGAGGGTCCAGTAGTACATCCTAGATGAACTGTCTGCCACCTGGGGTCAGTCGTGTGTGTGTATGCTGCAGTGCATGAGTGTGTGTGTGTGTGTGTGTGTGTGTGTGTGTGTGTGTGTGTGTGTGTGTGTGTGTGGTCACATGATGTGGGTTTTTAGCAGTATAGTTTGGACGGAAATCTTTTCAGAATTGCTACGTGAAACACCGGTGTGGATCATTTTCATTCTAAAACGCCGCTTTAAGACTAAAATTTGTGTATTAGTGTAAACAGGGCCTTAAAATGTATACATCTATTGATGCTGGCATTGGAAGAGAGTTGCAGTTACTACTTTTAAAGAAAGAAAATCATAAATGGATACAACAATGGCTTCTTTGATCAAACAGAATACAGTGCCAAGCTGTTACCTCTATTTCCCCACAGATTGGGCAAGTAAACCAAAATACATGCGGAAACTCTATTTGCGTGCGTGTTTATGTGTGTGTGTGTGTGTGTGTGTGTGTGTGTGGACACTTTCAGACCCTTTTGGCCATCTGACAAAGATTAAGCTCCCTACTTTAAAATGTCTGATTCTAAACTTTCTGTAGAGCAACCATTAAACATTTAGTGTAGCTTAAATTATAAATGGCTCAAAAGAGGAGTGCCCAGGCACTGCCAACAATCTACAGAGAGCAAATGCACGTATGCAAGGATCTGTAGCACATTTTTAGAGGGGCTCCATCAATTATTTACAGCACCCTACTCGCCCTCCTTGTTGTGTGTGTGGGGTCCATCCCCACAGGAGCTAAAGTTTTTAAGGAACAAACCAATAAATGTCTTATTTTGATCAGGTGGAGAAACTAGGACTTTGAGCTATTGTTTGACCACTGAAACTTTGAGTTGCCAAATATGTTTTTTAAATTTTGTAAAAATTTTAATAAAAAGGATTATCACCTGGATAGGGTGAAGGTATTGTGCATGGGGTAAGCCAGATTGACACTAATTCTGACTTTTAAAGTTTGCATTTAGAACACTACCTGACAAAAGTCTTGCCACTGACCCAAGTTTTAGGAACAGCAAATAATAACTTGACTTCTAGTTAATTTGGTATCAGAAGTGGGTTAAATGAAAGGCAAAGGCCTCTAGATTATGCTTATTTTACTAGAATAAAATATAATCATGCCTTGATTATTAATTATTTAATTAGGACAGTAAGGTCTGACTTTGTTTAGACAAAAGTCTTGTCATTTCACAAAAATAATGTACAGTATAGAACATAAAATCATGGTGAAGTGGAGAAAGAATTAATATTGTGTCTGACTCACATGAGCTTGGAGGACTCCATTCATACATCTCTGCAATGACTCAAATAAATTTAATAAAGTCATCTGGAATGGCAAAGAAAGCCGTTCGTGCAGGACTCGTAGTATTCATCTTCAACGCCTCATCCATGTTACCCCAAACATACTCAATAATGTTTATGTCTGGTGACTGGGCTGGTCAATCCTGAAGCACCTTAACCTTCTTTGCTTTCAGGAACTTTGATGTGGAAGCTGAAGTATGAGAAGGAGCGCTATCCTGCTGAAGAATTTGCCCTCTCCTGTGGTTTGTAATGTAATGGTTAGAACAAATGCCTTGATACCTCAGGCTTTTATGTTGCCATCCACTCTGCAGATCTCTCGCATGCCCCCATACTGAATGTAACCCCAATCCATGATTTTTCCTTCACCAAACTTGACTGATTTTTGTGTGAATCTTGGGTCCATACTGGTTCCAATAGGTCTTCTGCAGTATTTGTGATGATTGGGATGCAGTTCAACAGATGGTCATCAGAAAAATCTACCTTCTGCCACTTTTCCAAATGATAAACTAGAAATCAGGTTATTATTTGTTGCTCTTACAGCTGAGATTGATGACAAGACTTTTGTCAGCTAGTGTATCACTAGTCCTAAAGGTTTATTGAAATAGAATGTGTTTTTTACACTGAAAAACACAAAATGCTGTGAAATAAGAGGATTTAAATTGTGCAAGTTAAAATCCTTTAACATTAGACCATTGTTTTTGTTTTATAAATGTTTAATACATGAGATTCAAATGCAATCTGTTATATGTTTGTATGTTTTACTTGTACAACCCTGCATTTCATTTGTCATATAACAAAATAAAGGTTTTGAGTAGCATGTAAAAGATTATGTTTGTGACTAGTTTGTGCAATATTTGCCTTTAAATTTCAGATTTTTTTTTTTTTTTGCATCTTTATTATACATATGAATACTTGCATTTATAAAATTATCAGGGATACATACAGACTATTTGCTTGCACGCATCCAAGAAACACATGTGAATTAACTGTACAAACTTTCTGCTTGCATCTAGGAAATAATTGTGCACTCATACACCTAATAAACAACCATAAGCACTTATAATGAATCATATAATAAGTAAAAAGACACCAGCAGAAAAGTCCTACTGGTTTGATGCTTGTAATGGTGAATCAACTAGTTCTTCCAGCGTTTCTTCAACAAACATGGCTTTAATCAATAGCATAACAATGCAATCTTTACTTTCTACAATCTTTTTGTAAAGAGAATGTTATGTGAATCATGTTGTAATTACATTTTTACATTCACAAGTTAAATGTATTGAAAAGAAAAAGAAACATTAATCTAGTTATCCGAATGAAAACTCAAACCATTCATCTAATTTCCTGCATCTCAGGTTAAAAAATAAAATAAAATCCAGACAGAGAGAGTGTAATTTATCAGATTGTGAAAAGTGAGTGTTACATACTCGAATGTAGCCAAAAACCTCTGATATGAAATAATACCACTGTAATGTGAAAGAAAACCTACGTTAAATGCAATTTGCCTTCTTGGAAACTATTTATAGCCAATGAGCCGATGCAGGAAAGTGAACTGCTCAACATCCCACTGGAACCTGATGCAAGAACAAAAAGCGGCCAGGCTCTTTATAATTCACTTCAGGTGGTAAGTACGCGCTTTAAAGCCGTCTCATTTGTAGCGATTTGCAGTGGGGGGCGGAGCCGTCTTCATCTGCTGCCTTATTTATGAACAGCGCCACATATTTACTTACCTGCTTTAAATTTTTCATTCACGGCACCCGTGTGTGATGAAACAGTGACTGCAGAACCTATCGCATTTTATATCACCTGAGAGGGTGGTCGACTGCATTAAACAGCCGTATTCCCTGTATTTACAAGTGTTATCTAGAACATAGAGTGAATATGTCGTAAAGTGTTAAAGGGATAGTTCATTCAAAAACTAAAATTTACTCACAACTTACTCAGTCACAAGTGGTTCAAAACATTTATACATTTCCTTTTTCTATTGAACATAAAAGAAGATATTTTGAAAAATGACAGAAACCTGTAACTGATGCCTTCCATTAAAAAAAATACAATGAAAGTCAATGGTTAAGGATTTCTAACATTCTTTTGTGTTCAACAGAAAAAAAAGTTTGTGATAGGGCTGCACAATATATTGTATATATCGATACATACAGTTGAAGTCCATGAAGTCACCTGATTGCAAATGAAAAAGGTCTGCAAAGATGTACAGATAAATGGTGTATAGAAATTAAGTCAGTTAAATAAAAGAATCAATTATAAACCTCTAAAAAGAGTCGTCTAGAGTTCTGGCTTCATTTCTGCAATCTACTTATTGAAATAGATTTGTAACACATTTGTATAATGACAGACTATCCTTTTCATTGGCTGTCTGCAAACTCAACCCCTGTAATAAATTCGTTGGAGATTTTTTGAGAAACAATGTGATTTTAAATGTATTTTATGACAAATGTAGGGTATTTTTTTAATCTAGTATAAATTATAACCTATTGTAGGAGACTAATAAAACAACCATGATCCTTTCCATGTTAAATCAAATTTAGTTCAAGTTTATTTGTATAGCGCTTTTTACAATAATTATTGTTTCGAAGCAGCTTTACAGTGCACATTATTGCATTATAATCAAAATCAGAAAAGTTAAGGTTATTAGTTACCATGACTTTATTAGCTACTGATAACTTTAACTAATTAACTAGCAACTAACAGCTTTTAACAGTTAAATTTACATAAGCATAGCTAACCTGAGTTTTTAGAAAACAGGTGATGTCACTGTGTGCATGTTCAATGAATTGTATTTGTGTACGTTACACTTCATTTAACAAATATAAAGAAAAAGTTCACCTGTTCTGGTTTTAGTGTTGGTTAGGATTTCCTGCAGTCGCTCCTGGAGTTTATCGGCTCTCTTTCTCTCTAGATGGAGCTGCCTTTTCAAGTCTTTCAGCTGCAGAAGAATAAATGACGTTATTTTTGATCTGATGGACATTTAGTAGATTACAAATACAGTACATTCAGAGGCCGCAATAGTATTTCAAAACTAAATATACTATAGTCCATTACAAATGTGCGTACTTTTCTAGTAATATTGTAAATAATGTTTCATTTGGGCGGCACAGTGGCTGAGCTGTTAGGACTATCGCCTAACAGCAAGAAGGTCGCTGATTTGAGTTCCCACATTTCTGTGTGGAGTTAGCATGTTCTCCCCGTGTTTGCGTGGGTTTTCATGGATGCTACAGTTTCCCCCACAGTCCAAAGACATGCGGTAGGTGAATTTGATAAACTAAATAGGCGATTCATTTCACTGTGGTGACACCTGATAAGGACTAATCCAAAGGAAAATGAATGAATGAACCATGTTTCATTTATTGCACAAGACCATTTGTCACTAGGAGCCATTGGTATTGATTTTGACTTATTTGTATGTGTTTGTTTTATTCTAAAATACTTGTCACTATTCACTGCCATTATATGAATCAGTTAAATAATGTTTCAGTTAAAAAATGTACTTAATGTTCGACTGAAGTACCTACGCCTTGGATGACCTGTGGGTGAGTAAAAGTTCAATTCAATGTGTAAAAATGTCAATTTTAGGGTGAACTATCCCGTTAAGCTCCAGTCAAAAATATCTGAATATTAGCCAAGAATATATATACAGTTGAAGTCAAAATTATTAGCCCACATACATATTTTTTTTTGTAATCAGTTTAAATTAAAAAAATTCAGCACATTTCTAATCATAATAGATTTAATAACTGATTTCTTTCATCTTTGCCATGATGACAGTACATAATATTTTACTAGATATTTTTCAAAATACTTGTATTCAGCTTATAGTGACATTTAAAGGCTTAGCTAGATTCATTTGGTAAGTTAGGGTAATTAAGCAAGTTGTTGTTGTTGTATATCCAGCCCGCAGTCTTTGTATAGCATCGGGGCTTATCCTTTATCAGCCATGCTGTAAACTCAAGACCATGGGTAGTAGGGCTTTCTCTACAGTGCACCTAAGCTGTGGAATGCACAACCCATCAGTATTAGGAATGCCGCTTCTTAAGACTCGCCTTTTTAGCATTGCTTTTAACTTGAGATGATCATTTTGTTAACTTTATTCTATCTTATGGTTCATATTCTTATTGTTTTATTGCATCTTTTTTATTGTTGTACGGTTTCTGCTATTGTTGGCATTTAGTCTTGTATTGTTAGTATTTTGTCCTGTAGCGCTTTGAGTCTAAGAAAAGCGCATTACAAATAAAATGTATTGTTATTATCATTATTATTTTAATAACAGTAATTTGACAATCGAAAATACTGCTTAAGGGGGCTAATAAAATTGACCTTAAAATGTTTTTATTTTTATTTTAAATTGCTTTTATTGTAGCCAAAATAAAACCAATAAGAATTTCCCTAGAACAAAACATATTATATTATAGTACTGTAAAAAATCCATTCTTCATTAAACATAATTTGGGAAAATATTTTAAAAAAAGAATGGAAAATTCACAGAAGAGCTAATAATTTTGACTTCAACTGTGTGAAAAGAAAGAGAAAGACAGCAACTTCACATGACCTAAACATCCTGTCTGTTATTTTTTGCAGGAGCAGCACTCCCAAAAAGCTCTTTGCTTTTTAAGGAATTTAAGAAAGAGAGGAAGCTATATGAAATTACATCCACATGTGAAATTACATGTGGCCAAAATCACTTCAAGTATAGCCTAAGAGGAGTTTCACCAGAGGGAGTCTATTTGTAACTGAATAAACATTGTGACCGATAAACAATGCCAAAGAAACTATAGCCAAAACTGTATTAAACTAAAGGTATGGAAAGCTTCTGGAGCTGTAAACACACAGAGAATCAATGAAGTGTCAAAGCGTATTGTATTGATGAAACGGCTACAGCGTTAATGAAAGCTGATCGACCCTCCTCAACGTGAGGTCTGGTTTCAGGTCTGTAGGGCAGAGAGGTGTCCTGCCTATCGCTTGGGACTATTTTAATTCACTTTCTGGGAAATGGAGAGAAGGGAAAGCCCTGACTCATCTTTATTTCCCTGGCTGGATTGCCTACTTACCGCTGAACTACCTTTTTTCTCCAGGATTCTCTGTCCATCCACGGTGTCTTTAATCTCCTGAAATATACAAACAAAGGTCAATGAACCTATATATTTAAAAACTTTTTTTTTTTTTTAAGAAAGCATTTTTGAAGTAACATATACAACAATATATTAAAATAATGCATTTTAAATTATTTTTTCGAGCAACTGTCTTTGCAGAATTTCTTTTACATTTTTTTTATTGCGTTTTATTTTTTTTATTGCGGTTGTTAAAAATAAGTTTTTTTTTATTTTAGATATATTGCCAAGCTAAAGTCTGTCCTCTCTTTCAGTAATTTGGAGAATGTTGTTCATGCTTTCATCTCTTCTCGTCTGGACTATTGCAACGCATTGTATCTGGGTGTGAGTCGGGCCTCTCTCTCATGACTGCAGCTGGTCCAGAACAGGCAGGCATAAAAAAACAAGAACACATTACACCTTTACTGGTTTCTCTTCACTGCCAGTTTAGGATTCAGTACAAAGTTCTGTTGTATGTTTTTAAATCCCTCCATGGCCTTGCCCTGAGTATATTTCTGAGCTAATTATTATACACCAACCTGTGAGATCTCTTCGCTCTAAGGATTGGCTCTATTTGCAAGTTCCACGATCACGCTAAAAAGGTCGAGGTGATAGAGCTTTTTCAGTAGCAGGTTCAAGACCCTGGAACGATCGTCCACTCTCCTTAAGAACAGCTTAAACTTTAGAGTCATTTCAGAGGTCACTGAAAACACACTTATTTTCTTTAGCTTTTATTCATGTGACGCGAGTTTGTGTATTTTGGTTTTGTGTATATTTGCATGTGTTTTATGTGTTTTATGTACATCAATTTGGTACCCATTGTGGTTTGTTGAAAGTGCTATTGAAATAAAGTGAGTTGAGTTGAGTATATGAGAGTCTAATTTATGCAAGTATAGACTGCCATTCAAAAATTTTGGATTGGTAAGAATAAAAAAAAAAAAAAATAAAAATGTAAAGAATTATCTCATGCTCACCAAGACAACATTGATTTGATCAACAATGCATTATAAAATATTATTATTTATATTATTTTTTTAATATTATTTGAACATTTTTATTTGCGATGGCAACTGTGAATTTTTCAAAGTAAAGTCTACGAATATCAGTTGTGCTGCTTAATACTTTTGGGGAAACTGTTTTATTTTTCAGTATTTTCAGATGTAACATTGACACATGAAACACTAACATTTGAAAAAAAATGTTTGCAACATTATAGTAATACAAGTGGTTATTATAAATATATATTAGGGCTGCACAATATCTCGTTTTAGCATCGATATCGCAATGTGCGAGTACACAATAGTTACATTGCAAAACATGCAATGTTGAGTCAGGATTATAGTTAACCAGGTATAACAATTTAGAACACATTAAATTTGCAATTTATAGTCTACCCATAACTTATAAAGTGAAAGTTTATCAATTGCTTGCATTTTTAAGGCCTGTTTAAATTATTTCTTGTGCATTTTGTTTGTCGCTTTAGCAAAGATTAATTGTATTTAATTATTTACACAATAAATAATATCATTTTTTTGTACATTTGATTATTTTATTAATGTATCATTTGTATATTTGCTCTATTTATCTCTGCGTCAGACTTGATTTTATTTTTTGCACTCACTTTCAAAATCATCCCAATAAATTGAAAATCATTAAGCTATCTTGAGAAAAATCACAATATAAATTGCAAAAATATTAAATATCACAATGTACATTTTTCCCAATATTGGGCAGCCCTAATATTTACGGTTTTGTAAGAAACCCACTATATTTGCCTGCATTTTTTGTACTGATCCAAAAAAGTTCCAATCAACCGTTCCAAAACTCAAATGTAAGTTTTTAAAATGAATTTATTCACCATTTAATATTTCTAAACACATCCTTTTGCATGATTTAACGTAGTATTTTTTAAGTGTATAATGTTTTAAAATCTTTCTGTTGAGTTTCAGTTTCAAAATTATTTGCCATCCTGTATATTTTATTTATTTATTTTTCAAATATTCCCCAAAGAATGTTTAATAACACAGCAAGGAATTTTTCACAGTATTTCCTTATTATATTTTTTCTTCTGGAGAAAGTCTTATTTGTTTTATTTCGGCTAAAATAAAAGCAGTTTTAAATTTCTCTTAAACCATATTAAGGTCAATATTATTAGCCCCCTCAAGTAATATTTTTTCGAACATCTACAGAACCAACCACTGATATACAATGACTTACCTAATTACCCTAACTTGACTAAGTAACCTTGATGGTTTTGGATTTCTGCCTTCCAATCAGTCCCAGCATGCATCCACGTTTATCCTTTTTCTCATTGCTTTATTAAAATGATTATTTGAATCAGTATTTATTCTTAAAATGATTTTGACTAATGAATAAAGTTAAAATAATTTCTTAATATAATATAAGAATGTTCAGTGTTCTTGCTCCTCTCTTTGTCTGTCTATTTTAATTTCCGGAGCCACCAAACTAGGTCAGAGGTCATGGAGACCTCGAGTGGAACTAAAGGACCCGGATAATTGAAAACAACCATTTTCTTATTTGTAAAATCATGTGTTAATACTGTTTAAAGTGATTTTAATATGATTACTATTATTATTATTATTATTATTTTGTGTTTATTCTGTTTTAAGTGATTTTCCTTTTTATGCAAGATAGACTTTTTGTAGTAAAAATTTAGCAGCCTGAATGCTGTTTTTAATCGTTTTGAACAAGTTTAATACGACAGCTGAGAGTACGGAGAAACAACCTTGGGTTTTTATAATAGATTGTCTCTTGCTGTGTATATGTATTCGATGGGTCAGTTCTACAGGTCTAAGACCTTAAGGGTCAGTTAAGCCTTTACATGTCATTTTGAGCTGAATACTAGTATCTTGAAAAATATCTAGTACAATATTATGTACTGTCATCATGGTAAAGATAAAATAAATGGTTATTAGAAATTAGTTATTAATACTATAATGTTTAGAAATGTGTTGAAAAAACTTCTTTCTGTTAAACAGAAATTGGGGAAAAATATACAGGGGGCTAATAATTTAGGAGGGCTAAATGTATTCTGACTTTAACTGTATATATAAAAAAACATCCATGACACAAGTAAAATCACAGCAAAGCAAAAGTCATAATAAATCATCCTAAAAAAAAAAACTCATACGAGAGCAGGAAACACCAATATCACATCTCTGAAAACGAAAAATCCCTGATGAGCTGCTGGCACCAGATGCTTACAGAAGAACAGTCTCATCCTACTGTCGAGTCACGCATCGTTCTTGAGTCACATCTGAAATTACTGCTGAGCTCCGGCGATCACACCCCCATATTATCCTCCATCTGAGTCGTGCCGCATTTAGCATCTTAAAAACACATGCTTCTCATCACGCAGAAGAACAAACACACTGGTGGAGCTGCTAGGAAAGAGACTAAAGAAGAGTCTGTTCAGCTCACGCACCTGTTTGAGTTTGCCGATTGTGTTGTTGAGATCTTCTCTCTCTTTCTCCATCTCTGTCACTTGCTGTTGGACTGCATCCACCTCTGCAGCTTTAGCCTAAGAAAGAAAACGTGTTCTTTAAGCCATTCAGTCGAAATGCAAGGATAAAATGGATACGCTCTGCACAGAACAAACTATTATACACTTGTTTATTGCACATTTTGTGTTTGTAAAAAATCCAATTTCCTCCAATATTTACATAAAAGGATGTCTAACAGAGCAAGGACATGTTCACAGTATTTTTGAAAATTAAATGATAGGTGGCGCAGTGGGTTGCATGTTTGCCTCACAGCAAGAAGGTCACTGGATCGAGCCTCGGCTGGGTCAATTCGCATTTCTGTGTGGTGTTTGCATTTCCACCCGTGTTTGCGTTGGTTTCCTCCGCGTGCAGCATTTTCCCCCACAAGTCCAAAGACATGTGGTACAGGTGAATTGGGTAGGCTAAACATTGACTATATTGTATGAGTGTGTGAATGAGCGTGTGTCTCCCAGTGATGGGTTGCGGCTGGAAGGACTTCCGCTGAGTAAAACATTTGCTGGATAAGTTGGCGGTTCATTCCACGGTGGCGACACGGTGGTCTAAGCCGAAAAGAAAATAAATGAATGAATATATTGTCAATATTATGAGCCCTTTTAAGAATTGTTTTTTTAATTTTTTTAATTGGCTCCAGAAGAAACTATTGCTGTCCAATAACTTTCCTATGTAACTTAACTTGTCTAGTTAACCTAATTAAGCCTTTAAATTTAGGGTGGCACAGTGGGTAATGTTGTCACCTCACAGCAAGAAGATCACTAGTTCAAGCCCCGGCTGGCTCAGTTGGCATATCTGTGTGGAGTTTGCATGTTCTCCCTGTGTTGGCGTGGGATTCCTCCGGGTGCTCCGGTCCAAACACATGCACTATAGGTGAATTGGGTAAGCTATATTGTCCGTAGTGTATGTGTGTATGTCCTGGTTCTTCAAGTTGGGTGTTGAGCGTTGGGCTAACAACCCACCTCATAAAAATTAAGTGTTATCAATCACCAACATGGTGCGGTTAAATATCAACTTCGATGTAAATGGCCCTGGGAGTATGTAAGTAAGCATTTACATTTGCAATTTAAACTAAATACCAATATCTTAGAAATTAAGTTTTTTTTAACACCAAAAGCTCCAATAGAATAAAATTTCAAATATCAAATTTGTTGACTTAAAAAGGCAACACAACGTCTAACATTTTAAGGACACCGGTTCGGTGAAGATTTTATTTAATAAAAATGTATTTAACTTTGTCAAATTCAGATAAATGACAGGTGTCGAGAGATGTACTTTCATGTTTTTGGATTCACACACACTGCCTGACAAAAGTCTTGTCGTCGATCCCAATTGTACAGTAAGAGCTACATATAATAACTTGACTTCTAGCTGATCATTTAGAAAAGTGGCAGAAGGTAGATTTTTCAGAATAATTATCTTTTGAACTGCATCCCAATCATCACAAATACTGCAGAAGACCTATTGGTACCAGTATGGACCTAAGATTCTCACAAAAAACACTGAAGTTTGATGAGAGGAAAAATCATGGTTTGGGGTTATGTTCAGTGTGGGGGTGTGCAGGAAATCTGCAGAGTGGATGGCAACATCAACAGCCTGAGGAATCAAGACATTTGTGCTGCCCATTACATTACAAACCAAAGGGGAGGGCAAATACTTCAGCAGGATTGCGCTCCTTCTCGTACTTCAGCCTCCACATCAAAGTTCCTGAAAGCAAAGAAGGTCAAGGTGCTCTAGGATTGGCCAGCCCAGTCACCAGACATGTACATTATCGAGCATGTCTGGGGTAAGATGAAGGAGGAGGCATTGAAGATGAATCCAAAGAATCTTCTGCAAGAAGGCTTTCTTTGCCATTCCAGATGACTTTATTAATAGGTTATTTGAGTCATTGCAGAGATGCATGTCCTCCAAGCTCATGGGAGTCATACACAATATTAATTCTTTTTCCACTGCACCATGACTTTATATTCTATACCAGGGGTCACCAATCTCATCCTGGAGGTCCGGTACCCTGCAGGGTTTAGCTCCAACTTGCCTCAACACACCTGCCTGGGTGTTTCAAGTATACCTAGTAATACCTTGATTAGCTTGTTCAGGTGTGTTTGATTAGAGTTGGAGGTAAAATCTGCAGGACACCAAACCTCCAGGAACAAGATTGGGGATCCCTGTTCTATACTGTATATTTTTTCTGTTAAATGACAAGACTTTTGTCTAAGCAAAGTTAGACCTTACTGTCCTAATTAAATAATTAAAAATCAAGTCAAGATCATATTTAATTACAGTTAAACAAGCGTAATTTAGAGGCATTTGCCTTTCGTTTAAGCCTCTTATGATACCAAATAATCAACTAGAAGTCAAGTTATTATTTGTTGTTCCTAAAACTTGGATAGGCGACAAGACTTTTGTCAGGCATTGTCCTTTACATTTATGTTTTTTTTACTCATTAGTTATTTGCAGAGGTTTATACAATGATTAGCAAAGTAGAAGAATCTGTCCCTCTCTGACCAGTCTGATGGATACTGTTTGTTTTGTTAGAAAACTATGTTTAATAAAACATAAAAGAAAAAACTTTTGAAAAGTTTTAGCCTGAATAAAACAATTTCCACCCTTGGTTATGTCAGCAGAAAGCGAGTTCTAAAGAATATCAATTCTGTTCTCAAATCCTTTCATCAAAACAAAACTTCTGAAATAACTTTTCTTTTGTGCTGACATTACCAAGAAACTATGGCTCATAAAAAAATGTAAACGTTAATATTATATCCTTCTCACAATCCAATCAAATCATGGAGGATAAAACCAAGTCACAACAGAGATGGAGTGACCATAGCGACAGCCAGGATTTTTATTGGTGGTTCAGGTCAAAAGAATCCTAAATTAAATGCAATCAAATGCTACTTTGTTGAAAACAGAAGTCATTTTGTGGGATATGAACATGCGTTTTCATGGCCTCATTGTGAGATTTTGAACACCTACGGATGATAAATATGCTTCATGCATTTCAGATTGTCTTTTCAGCTCATTAAACAAAATTCCGTCAAGCAAACATCCATCAGCTCAACAAGACGTGACAGAATGAAGCCTTCTGATCTGACTGTTTCTGAGACTTGAATATGTATGAAGACAGCAAATGTCACAAAAATGAAATATCTACTAAATATAGTTTTACCACTCTTATTTCATCCGTTAAGTGTCAAACATCAAATGTGTTTTTATCATCACAAACACAAGAAATGTACCTCCAGCTGGAGAGTGTGATCTTTCTGTAGCCGCTTGATCTCTTCTGCGTGGTCCAGTTTGCTCCTTTCCATAGTCTCCTGTTCACCACACACACAAATCACAACAGCAACAATAAATCATACAGGGAAAAAAGTTTTTAAACATTTTAAAATTAATGTAATATCGTTTGGCTTGAAATATGAAAGTGAAAACTATTCAGCTACTATTAGACTTAAACTTCAAAAAAAAAAAAAACTTTTGCTGTACTTATTTAAAATGAGCTGATACAACGCAGTTCTTGAAGTTTTTATTGCGACAACTTGATTGTTTTATGTTCAATCCACTTAAATTTGTAAAAACTAACAAGTTAACTTAATTTCTTCAGGTTATCCTAACACAAATCGACCCCAGAATTTTAAATAGGGAGTGTAACAGAAATTTTTATTTTATATATAACAATTCAGTAAAGTTCTCTTGTCTTTATTGCAATTTCTAAGAGTCTACAGTCAGAAATATACAAGTAAACATAAAAGACATTAAAGAGCCCCTATTATGGGTTTTTAAAAATTATCTTCCATGCAGTGTGTAACACAGCTCTAAGTAAAGTGAAATATCCAGCAAAGGCTTAAATCTGCACTGTAAAAAATGCTTTTCTTACTTAGATTTTTTGTCTTGTTTCTAGTCCAAATATCTACAAGTTCTTAAATCAAGAAGCATTTTCTAGACAAGCAAAACATATTGTCTTGTTTAAGAAATAATATGCCAAAATAAAGTCAGTGTTTCCTTAAATCAAGCTAAAAAATCTGCCAATGGGGTAAGCAAAATAATCTTATCACAAATCGAAAAACAAAATTATTTTACTTAACCCATTGGCAGATTATTTTGCTTGATTTAAGGAAAAACTCACTTCATTTTGGCAAATTATTTCTTAAAACAAGACAATGGGTTTTGCTTGTCAAGAAAATGCTTCTTGATTTAAGAATTTGTAGATATTTGGACTAGAAACAAGACAAAAAATCTAAGTAAGAAAAGCATTTTTTTGCAGTGTGAAAGTGCAACGCGTTTAAAAATATTGATTCATCTGTAAAAAAGTTGACTCGTAGTGGTTCGAATGAATCACCACTGTAACAAGTCTTTAGCTGTGTTGGCATGACGTTAATACCGAACTCAAGCCCTGCCCATTTGTTGTGCAAGCAGACCCAGGAAAATTAAAGCCCCCAGCAAACACTGTAGCAGATCTCAGTTATATCAAGTGGCATAGACGCTGTGCTCTAAAGTGTGAGAGAAAGTTAGTGTTAATTTCCGTACCCAAAGATGAGGCTGTGAAGAGTCAGTGGTTTAAGTTTATTTTTGCAAATATACCTCAGCAGTATAGCCCCAGCCTTGTGCTGCGTTCCTGTCACTTTTTCTGACAAGTGCTTTAGCAATCTACACCCTTACAAAGGGGGATTTGTCGAGTTTGTTAAAGAAAGAATCAGGAAAGACTATTATTTTATGGAACTTTGTCAGAGCTCGACTGGAACTTTACAGTATAAAGTTCCTGGATCAGTTTCTTCCTCCATTTCACAAGTGTAAGTAAGTGAGATTTCATTGTGTTTTGTTACTTGTAAACGCTTGTACTGTATCTGCTTAACTCTTTATATTCTCATATCGTATCTAAAACCACGTTGAAAATGTCACGTGCGGCTTTGTTTACAGATTTAAATGCGATTGTGAGCTCACGATCCTTCGCATTTAGCCATTGCTATGGCCACCGTCAGCTGTTCCTACACACGTGCTACAGTCAAGTTTCAAAATAGTTTAGCTATTGCCACTGTATGGATTAACACTGAATGTGTGTCATGGTTAAGAATAGAGCAATATGCTGGTGTTAAACTGCATTGCTTTAATGCACTGGGCTCACACATACACTGCACTCTGACTACTTGTTGATTGTTGAAAATTGTTGATAAGCCATGGTGGGCATCTCTCTCTGTCTCGCGCTTAACGCAGTCGACCTATCACAACAGACTGGGCCATCGGAACAATGAGCACAGATTAGCATTGCTCTAAGGAGAGGTTTGAGGGCAAATTAATTGCTGAACGAATCATATGGGAGTCATTAAAATAATTAGGTAAAAATAAATACATACGATCAGTCAATGAAAGTGTTTTTTGACCTTGCATGCATATCAGCCTGTTGTTGGAGACCCCCAAAACCAAAATATGGCATTTTTTAATGCATAATAGGGGCTCTTCAAAATGTCAAGTAAATACACTAAAAATGTCCTTCTTTTAACCATTTGCCCTACAAAGTTTGTAACATTTAAAGATTTTTTTTAATGTAAAAAGAAAATAATTAAATGAATAAAAGTAAAATATACATCAAACTGAAATGCAGAAGAAATGTTTAAAATGCTGTTTTTGCACCATTTGACAGTTTAAAATACTTAGTTTAAATATAAAAGCAAAATATATAGTAAAAATATATATTTAACCATTTTCCATTTCAAACTTATAAAAATAAAAACATTAATCAGCTCAAGTTATTTATTTTTCACACTTTTGGCATTTTAAAATCTGGAACAATGAAGTTTAAAATAAACATTATAAATAAACATTATTATAAACAAATACAACAAGAAATGTAATTATAAAAAAATAAATTATTAAATAAATAAATAAATATTTATTTATATCAATCAAAGTCATGTTCTTAAACAAGTTGGACAAAGTTAATTTTAAAGTTTAAAATTCAAAAATAAAATAAACTTAAAAAAAATACTGAATTTATCATAAATCCACTGAAACAACAAAACAAAAACAAAACAAAAGTGAGTGTTTTTAAATAAATGTTTTTCTTTGGTCCACTTGGTATTTAAAAGTCTGAAACAGTAACGACAAAAACAACACTGACATCATGTGGTCAGAATGATACTGATGTAACCAGAAGCAAAACAACAAAGCTTCCATCTCTGTCAGTGAGAAAGAACAGTAAACAATCATTACCTCTGCTTCCTTGAGTCTGCGCTCAAACCAGCCCTTCGTTCCCTCCATAGACTGAACCTGGGCCTTCAGCTCCTCCACGTATGGCTGAAGACCTTCAAGCTCTTTGGTACGTGCCTAAAGGAAAAAATTTATCAATTAAAAAAAAATATCAAAACGAGAGTAGAAATTTTAATTTTTTCCACAAAGTACACTTTATACAGACACACTGCAGCAGGAGAAATCTGAAGTTAAAGAGATAATTCACTTAAAACCGAACAGTCATCATTTACTCTCCCTTTAGATATTATAAACCTTTCGGAGTTTCTTTCTTCTGTTAAACACAAATAAATATTAAAAATATTTTGAAAAATGTTGGAAACCTGTAACCATTGACTTCCATTGTTTTTTCTACTATGAAATTGAATGTTTACAGTTTTCCCGCATTCTTCAAAATATCTTCTTTTGCATTCAGCAGAAGAAAGAAACTCATAAATGTTTGGAGCCACTTAAGGGTGAGTACATAAAGAGTATGTTTTTATTTTTAGGTGAACTATACCTGTAAGTTATTTGTGGAAAGTGTAAACCTGTAAACTTTTAGTCACTGATTCAGCAAGTTTCTTACCCTCTCATCTCGTAGCTGAGAGCGGATCTCCTCTTCAATGCGGTTCTTCTCTTCATGGAGGCCTCGAAGCTCCTTCTCGTATCGAGCTCTGATACTCAGCACCTCCTTCTCATGCTGTAAGCGCACATTACTGAGCTCCTCTTTGTGCCGAGACTTTTCCTGCGCCGTCTCAATGGCCAGTTCATCCAGCATGACCTTACGCTTATCTGCTGTCTGAAAGAATAAAGGAACTTAACTGTCTTCAGATCTTTGCTGCAGTTAGTTTTAAATGAAACTGTGTTAGTTTCATTAACGAGATTCAATCACAGTGTAAAAAAAAATTCTTGCAGTATTATTATTTTTGTTGTTGTTGTTGAATCAAATTAACTTTTCAAGCCATCTCAACTTATATCAAATCAAACAGACTAAAAATTTTCTAGTTAAACTTGATGTAGTTAAAACATGAATAACATAAAATGTAAACATGACTTTTTGTTAGAGATGTCCCAATTTTTTCGCCCGAGTCAGAGACATTCCCTTTTGAAGATCTGTCAAAACCTGATCCGATACTTCTATAATATAAAAAAAACAAAACCCCGAAGAAACAGATCCAGGATGCTCCTTATTTTTTATTTAATTCACCTAATTTTAACATTCTGTGAGGTAGCTTGAACAGTCAAATAATAAATAACATAAACTTTTCACTGTTGGACTTTAGTGCAACAGTACATTTGGAGAAAATCTCATATAAAAACACATAGCACCTCAACTTAAAATACCCGGCAGGCAATCCCAAGTATACATTTGTCACAGTTTGCTATGCCATTTCCGTCGTCATCAACTTTATAATACCTCCAGACTGCAGACATACTCGCACTTTCCGCTTTAAGCTGCATCCATGTTAAATGCTTCCAGCATTTAACCAATAGCGTCTCTGCAACAAAGTGATGTCATGCTGCACGCGCTGCTGTTTCTGTGTGAAGTCAAGAAAGAGGTCTACCTCTGTGCCACCTCATAACTATAGTAAATACATATACATTCGAGTCCTGATCGGGAGGTAACATACGATTCCGATCAAGTCTGAAACTGCGTGATCGGATCTGGAAATCCCTTGTCGTATCATTTTTGCAGTGCAGGGGTCTTTTGAATGAAATTTAAGCAACTGCTGTTTAAATAGATAGTTCACACTATTTGCATAGGTTTTGTGTTCCAAGGCTCTGTTCACACCTTGTATTAAGGGTTTTGTTGATCCAATCCCAATTGGACAACATCAAGTACAGGTGTGAATGGGGTATTAAACATTGAGTATTTCAACTTTCGACTGCATCCAGAGGTGGTTGAAAATGCATTTGAACAGATTGTTACTGTAGTATCAACATCTGGTTGAATGCATTCAAAAAGCCACTAAAAACTGGACGCATTAATAAAAAATAAAAAATAAAAAGTGTACAAAGTTGAATGTTCTCTAGTGCAATGCTTATTTATTTAATATCAACAGTAAAAATGACACATTTTCCCAACAGGGACAACCACCAACCATCAAGAATGGATTATTATATGGTTTCATGGCTTTGCATTCAAAAAATGTCATTGTAATGAAAGTCAATAGACTGCCATTTTCAAAGCGAAATCAACGCAGCGGTGGGAAGAAACCCTGAAGTATCATACAGGAATGTTGTGTAGTTTGGCTGTATATCTTATCAGCGAAGAGAAAGCGAAGGTTTGTTCTGAATGGAAAGTAAAATTAAAAAAGGATATTAAATCTCATTTTAAGTTAAGGGAGTTGAGGGAAATTGCACTAGTTAGCTAACTTTACCTTTCCCAAACACGTTTTAGATGCCATTTATCAAACTCAAGTTAATGAACTGATTTTTTCACTCTATAGGCCTGTCAGGATACTGAATTTTGGTACTGGCATTTTTGGCACATTTAAATGCAACACCACTGACTTGACATTGTATTCACCAGTGCTCAACAGAAATGACTGTGATTGGCTGTAAAGGTCATCAGTTCACTGCACTTCACCACTGTTTACAGAGTGCAAACATAGACGAGCAATCAACTGATCTTTGTGGCTTTAAAATGCTCCAGTGTTCGTGTATCTGTGTTTGCACTCGGTGCAGAGCGGTGAACTGATGACCTTCACAGCCAATCACAGTCATTTCAGTTGAGCACTGGTGAATACTATGGCAAATAAGCGGTGTTTAAGAACAGGCTCAATGGAGCTTAAATGTTAGCGGGAAATGGCTGTTTTTAAAATTTCAGTACACGAGGGTGTGCTACAGAGGACTGCGATGTTTTCTCGCTTACCAGGTTACATAGGCTGAAGCAGGGAAGCATCCCGACGATGTTTACCTGGTGCCAGAAACTGAAGCCTACGAGGACACTCTTAGATTGTGATTTTGTTTGATGCCTAGTGTGCCTTTAAATGTTTAAATTAAACTTAACTGAATGATATTAAAGTGATGTTTACACCATATCTGCACTTTGAAATTGCGGCCACAGCAGGAAGTTTATAGTCCACAGCATGTTGTTGCAATGTTTGCAGTGCTGATTGTATATCTCCGGGTTTCTTCCCACCGCAGCCTCACTTTCGTGTTTTAAAATGGCGGCTGTGTGAAATGAGCATGTGAGGCAAAAACGGCCTCAAACATAACGAAAGGGTAGTCAATTTGAACAACAGACCAGGGTTAGATAACTAATATATCATAAACCAACCACTGCAATATTTACATTTGAGATATTTCCATATATTTGATATATTGCACAGAACTGCTTAAAGCAGATTTTAAAGAGAGGGGGAAAATTAAAAAATAAAAGTCATACAAAAGAACTCCGGAGGTGATTCTCAGATCTCATTTGTGTCTAAATCCGATTGTGGCTTTTAGATTAATAAAGTCATTACGATGGTCAAAAGGTCAAAGAACGAGCAGAGTTCTGCTTTGATTTACTAAAGAAGCTTAAATGAAGACAGAGATAATGAGTGCGGCAAAACGTCAAACTACTTCCACCCGACTGAACCACAGAAGGATCAGAAGGTTTTCTGTGTGTGTGTGTGTGTGTGTGTGTGTCGTCACCTTTCGGGCCTCCTCCAAATCCTGCAGTAGCTTATCCTTCTCCAGACCGAGTTCAGTGAGCTGCTCCAGAAGTCGACTGTTCGCTCGATTTGACTCCTGATCAGTAAGAAGACAAAAATATTTTAGTTTTTTTTTCTTATGTACAACACAAATACGAGTAACTAAATAAAAATCTTAGACATATTAACTGTATTTGTTAATGTAAAGATTTAATTATTTTTATTTGTCATGGTTGAAATTACTTTTTGTGTAATTGAACATTTTAATAAAAGTCCGATTTGTTTTTTGTTTTATGTAATTTAACATTTAAAAAATATGTGTCTAATTACACAAAACCAAAATTAATGTTCAAATCATGATTTTTTGTTTTTTTTTAACAAAATTATTTTCTTACTATACAAAACATTTTACTTGTCTGATTATCTAAGACCATTAGGCATGCAACCAAAATTTGGACACCAAAATGACAAAACATTGTACAAAAATATGAGCTATAAAGCGCTAATGAAGCGCAGACAGAACATTTCTGAATTTTTCCGGTCAATAAAGTGAAGTTATTTTATTGTCTTGTGTGTTGTTTTTTATTAGCATTATTTTTTATTGTGTTAGATTTAAAAATGCTAACAAAATTATATTATTATATTATATTATCAAAATTATAGATAATTATTACAAAGCACTTTTGGTTTTTGGCCAAGTGCAGCCAGAATTTTCAGTTTTGGCTTCGGCCCAGTATTTCCATTTCGGTTCATATTATAGCTTAATAAGATTTCTATCCTATTCACATATCATAATGTACAAAATACAGCATATTACTGCTGCAAATCATACAGAGATATGACACTGAATCCTTTAGTACCATTAGTTTAAAATTTGATAGTCATGTTGAAAAATATAAGAAGTTTAAGACAAGTCTAAACTCATCAAACTGTAAAATTATACATTCACACAATATTATTCTCTGACTTGATGTATTGCATTGCATCGTGGTTACAAGCTTTTTTAACTACATTGAAGCCTATTGACTTGATATAAAAACAAGGAGTTAAAATTATGGACAAAGCCTATGCGATAGCATCATTGTGATGTTTTATGTAAACAAAACCATTTTGGTTTTGATAGTTTTATTAAATTTATTTTAAATTGGTTTTTATATGCTTAAATAATCATGTTCCAATGGTATTTCAGATCTAATCAGTAGGCATCAAACCTCTCACAGAGTCACACGAACACCTACTAATGGTGACGGTTATCCCAAAATTCAAAAGTAATATAAATATTTTTAGTAGTGTTCTTAAAAAGTGGTTAAAAACACAGCAGCAGAGTTTGCACAAAATAGTTTACTATTAATTTGTTTGATCATGCCACATTTGCTTTTGCCTTCAGTAATTTTATGTAAAGAATTTTAATGTTGTGTGTATGTTTTATCTAGCTTTCTGTGGACAAGTCTGCTAAAATACTTAAACAAATGCTCTTGGTTGTCCAGTGTAATTGTGATGTCCATATCAAATAAATAAATAGATTCTTTCAGATCGCGTCTTTGATAGTTTACACTGTGTGGTTGTTACTCATATGAACGAGCACCGATTTGCTTGTTATTTCAAGCATTTGTCTGCGATTTCTCAAAACCTGTCGGCGAAATCGGGGCTAAAGTCTGAACTCGGTGTAAGGAAGATATTTAATGCAGGAAACTTGTAACCATTGCCTTCCATGGTATTTGTTTTACCTACTATGGAAGTCAAACAGGTTTTCAGCTTTCTTCAAAATATCTTCTTTTGTGTTGAACAGAAGAATGAAACTTTATAACCACTACTGAGTAAATAGTCAGTACATTTTCATTTCTGGGGTGAACTATCCTGGCTTTAAGTATAAAAAATGTTAAGTTGCTATCAAAATCAGCAGGAATCAAATACCTGTAGCTGTGAGTTGAGATCATCTCTCTGTGCTAGAAAGCTCTCCTGGTCAGTACGTCTCTGCTGAAGCTCGGCGTTCAGCGCAAGATTTTGCTCTCTCAGCAAATTCAGTTCCTGAGTCTTCACTGTTTGGATCTGTGAAAAACACACACAGACAGTTTCAGAGACCCAGATCAACTGAATTAAGTCTGCTTCGGTCAGTGTATGGATGAGAAAAAAAATGCCAACAGAAGACAAAAGGAGAATTATTAGGAAGCTTGAAAAGCACTAGTGAACAGCAGAGAAGTGCAGATCAGCACAATGTTAAATCCATCATCAATCTAAACGTACCCATGAGTGCTTTCAAGCTAAAAATAAACCATCATGCATGATGCAATACACACATATGTGCACATGCATCTATGTGTGGACATATATGAACTAATTCAGGCTGGCACAAGTACAAACAAAAAGATTAATATGATGATTGTGGAAGATTTAAAAAAAAACTCAATCAGGGTTGAACCAATTAGTCTTTGTAGTGTTTTTAAAATGAGCCTCATGTGCAAATTAAATCATTCATATTTATTTTAAGATTAATATATCAGCGTTGCTCACAAATAGGTAATGGATTGAAATCGAAATATTTATTTCTGGAAAGACAATATATAAACAACAACCAAAAATTTAAAAAAAAATTCTCATGGATAAACATTGGCTTTCATATGAAATCCTGGCATTAATGCTGCAATGTTTAATGTTTATTACAAAAATTCAGTCTCAAAAGTGTAAGAGATTGAGAAAATGAATAAATGTATACTCATCTGCCTTTTTATTAGGTTCACATTACTACTAAAGAGTTGACCCCCATTTTGGGGTAGATTCGACAAGGTAGGAAATATTCCTCAGAGATGTTGGTCCATTTTGGCATAATAGCATCACTCAGTTGCTGCAGATTTGTCGGCTGCACATCCATGATGTGAACCGTTGTTCCACCACATCCCAAAGGTGCTCTATTAGATTGAGTTCTTGTGACTGTGGAGGCCATTTGAGTACAGTGAACTCATTGTCATGTTTAAGAAACCAGTTTGAGATGATTCACGCTTTATGACAAGTCATATTACTCTGCTGGAAGTTGCTAGCAGAAGATGGGTAATCATAAATCGAGAGTCATCAGACCAGGCAACGTTTTTCCAATCTTCTATTGTCAAATTTTGGTGAGACTGTGTGAATTGTAGCCTCAGTTTCCTGTTCTTAGCTGACAGGAGTGACACCTGGCGTGCTCCTCTGCTGCTGTAGCCCATCTGTCTCAAGGTTGGATGTGTTGTGCGTTCAGAGTTGCTCTTCTGCATACCTCGGTTGTAACGAGTGGTTATTTGAGTTACAGTTGCCTTTCTATCAGCTGGAACCAGTTTGGCCATTCTCTTCTGACCACTGGCAACAACAAGGCATTTGCGCCCACAGAACTGCCACTCCCTGGATATTTTCTCTTTTTCGGACTATTCTCTGTAACTCCTGGAGATGATTGTGTGTAAAAATCCCAGTAGATCAGCAGTTTCTGAAATACTCAGACCAGCCCGTCTGGCACCATCAATCATGTCACGTTCGAAGTCCCTTAAATCACCTTTCATTCTCATTCTGAAGCTCGGTTTGAACTGTATCAGATTGTCTTGACCATGTCTACATGCCTAAATGCATTACACTGAGTTTCTGCCATCTGCCTGTGGCGGATTAGAAATTTGTGTTAACAAGCTGTTGGAAGGGTGCACCTAAGTGGCCGGTAAGTGTATTTATAATAGTTAATATTTCCAAAAAAGACAAAAGAACCTAAAATAAATCAATAAATAAATGCACTGAAAAAAATGCTGCCTAAATTATTTAGTTGAATCAAATTATCTTTTTTAGTCATCTCAACTTACACAAATCAAAGACTGAAAATATTAAATTAAACTTTGTATAACTGAAAAAAAAACCTGATTAACTAATTAAAACAAGTTAAAGTAACATAAATTTTTTGTCGTCTTTACTTTTTTATTAAATCTCTTACTTTTATGTTTAATTTTAGGGTCTTAAAATAAAACTTAAAGCATTGTTCCATTACTAAAACTATGACATCCTTATAAATCTATATGCATCTCAACCTGGATGGAATGGACACAAATGAGTTATGAGACTTAACATTTGAGAGTGAAAATTAGTTAAAGTGAAAAACCAACATGTTGTAAATAGTTATTTTCTGATTTAGTTTAAGACAGTACAAGGGTGCCCAAACTTGGTCCTGGAGGGCCAATGTCCTACATAGGTAAGCTGCAACTTCCTTCAACACACCTGCATGGAAGTTTCTAGTATACAAAGAAAGAGCTTGATTAGCCGTTTCAGCTGTGTCTATTTGGGGTTGGAACTAAAATCTGCAGGACACCGGCCATCCAGGAACAAGTTTGGGCACCCCTGGTTTAGTGGATGACAGTGGTGTTAGTATTTGTGCTTTGACAGTTAACTCTACCGAGAGCTTGTGTGTTAAATCAGACATGGTGACCAGGTGAAGATGATGCAGTGGTTGAACTGGGCTTCATGAAGTCTGTAATGCTGTATTAGGATCTGGTACCTGTTCTAGAGCTGCTAGATTTGTCCTGAGAGCATCGTTTTCACTCAGCATGCCCTCCACCTGCTCCTGACTGACCGCGCTCTGACACGCGACCTGCAGTTACGCCACACACAACACCGACAGAGACAGAAAGAAAACAGCCAACAAAGAGAGAAAAGCAACACCAAATGAAAGAGCGAAAAAGTAAAGAACAAATGAAAGATTGCATGAAAGAACAAATGAGCAGGCAGCCGAAGCATTATGATTTAAAAATTAAGAAAATAAATTACGAAAAAGAAGAAAACAAAAGGAATATTAGAATAAAGAAAAAAAAGCAACATTTCAAATATTAAATAAATAATACAAACAAGAAAAATTTACAAATTTCAATAGAAAAAAAGAGCAAAAGGAAACAAGAACAAGAAGAGTTTTTTTAATCAAATAAAAGCACAAATACAGATTAAAAGAATGAAACAAATCAAACACAAAATAATAAAAAATGAAAACAAACAAAAAGGAGAACATTAACAAGAATATTACATTTTAAATTTTACATAAAATAATTTAAGATTACATATTAATATGAGAAATAAAAATATAAAAAAGTGAAAAAGGAACAAATACATAATAAAAGCCAAAAAGAAAGAGTAAAAAACAAATAAGGGGAAAGTGGGAATATGAACAAAACAAATCAAGAGTGAAAATGAAAAATATCAAAATGAAAAATTTCAAAATGAGAAAGAAGATAGAAAATAAGAAAAAAAGAGAAAAGAAAAATAGAAAGTCAAACAAAAGAAGAGAGAAAATTTAAAGTAAAGAGAAAAACAGAAAATTTAAAAAAGTAAAAAATAACAAAACGTCAAACAATTGAACAAAAGAAACGAGCGAAGAGAAAACAGAAAAAAGTAATAAAAAGTGAAAAGAAAAAAGAACAGAAAATAAAGAGAAAGAAAATAGCAGAAAAATAAGAAAAATGTTTGAACAATTGAACAAGAAAAGTGTGAACAAGAAGAGAAAACACCAAAGAAAATGGAGAGTGAGAAAGATAAAAAAGAAAAGAAAAAAGAAAAGAAAAATACAAAAAAGTCAAACAATTGAACAAAAGAAAATAGTGAAAGAGAAAACAGAGAAAATTAAAGGAATAAAAGTGAAAAGAGAAAAAGAACAGAGAAAAGAAAAAGAGAAAAGCAGAAAAACAATACAAATGTCAAACAATTGAACAAGAAGAGTGAAAATAAAGGGAAAGAATAAATGAAAAGGAAAAAAGTAAAAGAGAAAAGAGAAAATGAAAAGAGAGTGACAGAGATGAAAATAAAAGAAAGAAAAGAAGAAAAATGTAAAACAATTCAACAAAAGAAAAGAAAACACCAAAGAAAATGGAGAGTGAGAAAGATAGAAAATAAAAATAAAAATTCAAAACATGTCATACAAATGAACAAAAGAAGAGTGAAAAAGAGAAAACAATAAAGAAAATTAAAAGAAAAAGTGAAAAGAGAAAAAGAACAGAGAAAATAAAAATAAAAAGCAGAAAAATAATAAAAATGTCAAACAATTGAACAAAAGAAAAGAATGAAAGGGAAGAGAAGAACAGTAAATTAAAACAAAGAAAAGAGTAGAATAGAGAAATTAAAAGAAAAAAGTAGAAAAAGAAGAAAAATGTAAAAAATTGAAGAGTAAAAAAGAAAAAAACAACAAAAAAATTAAGAAAAGAATGAAAAGAAGAGAAAAAGAACAGAGAAAGAAAAAAAACAAAAATACAAGAATGTCAAACAATTAAACAATAGAAAAGAGTGAAAAAGACGAAAAACAACAGAGAAAAATAAAAGAATGATAATGAGTAAAAAAAGAGCAAAACATTAAAGAAAAAAGTAGTAATAAAGAAGAAAGTTTTAAACAATTGAACAAAAGAACAGTGAAAAAGAAATATAAAATAAAAAAAAGAGACAGGAAAAACACAAAAAAGCAAAACAATTAAACAAAAGAAAAGAGCGAAAGAGAAAACAGAAAATTAAAGGAAAGAAAACATGAAAAAATGAGAAAAAGAACAGATAAGATGAAAGAGTAAAAAATAAGAAAAAATAAGAGAAACAAACAAGAAAAATGTCAAATAATTGAGCAGAAGAAAAAAAGTGAAAAAGAAAGATAAAGAAAAGAAAAAAATAAGACAAAAAATGACAAATTAAAAGAAAAGAGTGAAAAGAAAAGCAAAAGAACAGGGAAAAAAGAGGGAAAAATAAGAGTAAAAAAAGGAGAAATAAAAAAATGTCAAACAATTGAACAAAAGAAAAGAGTGAAAAGAAGAGAAAACAACAGAGAAAAATAAAAGAAAGAAAAAGAGTGAAAAAGAAGAGAAAATTATGAAAAAAAAGGGGCAGCAATCAGAAACAGAACAGAAGAAAAAATAAAGGATGTGAGGGATTAATGAAGACATGTCCAGCATTGAGTGATTGTAGTAGAAGCAATGCAGCAGATGAGCACAGTCAGAATGAACCCAGAGAGAGTGAATGAGAAAAGACACAAGAAAAAAAAGGCAAGCCCAAAACAAGAAAAAAGAAGAGAAAAGAAAACAGGCCGAGTTAGAAACTCCAGGTCAAACAGAACAGACCCAGTCAAGCAGTTCAGAACAGAAAACAGAACAAGCAGACTCTTCAATCTTATCTGCCCGATGCTCATTAGAGGCAGCGCTTTAATTAAGATTTCTGACCTCACAGAGAAACTGAAAGACTTTTGTGATGGCAGGACCTGCAGTATAGGGCCATAGAAAAGCGGCTCTTCCCTCAGGGGCCCCTTGTGAAGCCTGTGTGGCCCTAAGTCACCTGCACTGAGCCCCACTAATCCTTAATTACTCAGCCGATCCTGAGCACCGCCATCCATAAACGCTCAATTAAACAGGCTGCTCTCTGGGTAATTATAAACTTCTAGAAACTTCTACATAAGCCCAAAGTGTTCGCTATCAGCAGAAAGAGAGCGCTGGGTCACAGTAAAGAGCTCTCCTGGTTCCCATTAAAGGGATGGTTCAGCCAAAAAATTATATCCAGCACAGTTTAATCAACCTCATACTCCTCCAAACCTGATTTACTTGAGGTAAAATAAATAACCTAGTGTATAATAGTTTTAAATGGGCAACTAGAAACTAGATTTCAGTTCTTCTGAATTTATATTATAACACATTTAGCTGCATTTACAATATAGATCTTGATGGTCAAACTTAATTTTGTGACTGTATCTGATTTTTTGTGAACCCGCTTGCATCATATCGCATAGCTGGGAGCTGGCTCTCTGCAACTCTCACATGCTCGCCCACTGAAGCCATAGTGTGAACTTTCCTGATATAAAACAAGAACTGAAGAGTCGAGCATTTTTAAATAGGTCCTCACTCCGTTCAGCTCTTATTATGGCTTTTAGCCAGAGACGTCTGCGGTTGGCATTTAAAGCAGTGTGGTGTACAGTAAAAAGTTTGGTATTGCAACCGGTCTTTTTTGCAACCAGTATGTGCGGTTGAACCCGTTTGACGTAGGTTGGTAATTGCCCTATACTGCTCATTAAGCGCCGTCTTTCGGATGAGATGATAAACCGAGGTATTGACTCTCTGTGGTCATTAGAAATCCCAGAATGTCTTTCGAATAAGAGTAGAGGTTTAACCAAATTTGCTCACTGGCCTCTGTCCATCATGGCCTCCTAACCATCCCCATATCACAATTGGTTTCATCACTCTGTCTGCTCTCCACCAATCAGCTGGTGTGTGGTGAGCAGTCTGGCGGAATATGGCTGCCATCATGTCATCCAGGTGGATGCTGCACACTGATGGTGGATGAGAAGATTCCCCCCAAAATATGTAAAGCGCTTTGAGTATCCAGAAAAGCACTATATAAATGTAAGGAATAATCATCTTTTTAAAGGGACTTGTATATGATAGCTGGATTTACACTGCACACACAAAGATTCAATGAGTCAAGGAAAAAAGAAAGAGTGGGCGCAGCTCATATTACAAATAGAACATTAAAGTCAATTAAAACAAAAAGAAATTATGCTGAAAAATGAATGAGCGGACAATCAAATAACAATTTGTCTATATGAGTTTTACTCTGTTTCTTACAGGATTACTAAAGGTAACTAAAACCTTAAACCATTAAAAACTAAAACCACTTCTGTTACTTATGCATATAGACAATTTCAGTGTGATTATGTCATTGGCCCATGAACATTTCCTACTTGTTATTAAACTACTTTATAACTGTAACAAGAGGCAATTTACCCATAACTTAATGTTAAAACAGCTATCATAACATTATTTATCAATATGTTGCTCTTTTTGGATTCTCAGAAGCTACAGTATATAGAAATAATAAAAAAAAAAGTGTAAAACAGGAAATATGTTGGGACCATTGTTTTTCTTTACATCCCTCAAACTGGTCTATATAAATACACTGAATAAAGTGAAACAAAATACAGTGTAGAAATAAAGAATTTAATTAATAATTTACTATATTTAATATAATAATTTACCTTGATGCAAATAAACAAAAAAAAAAGATTCTAAAACCTATATTTAAACAAATATTTTTATACAAATATATATATATTTAAACCTATTTTTAACGCAAATAAATTTTAAAAAGTAAAAAAAAACATAAAGATTTAAATGAATTACGAAAAAGTTATGTACTGTAGTATGTCGAAGATTCCAAAATAACAATGGTTTCTCTAACAAGTTATATGATTTCAGTGGACAAATGTCCTACGAGCTGGTTTTATTACACAGTTTTATATTACTATCATGAATGTAATTTGTAGCACACAATCATCTGTTACCATCAGTGATGGGAATAACGGCACTATAAATAGATGTTGTTACTAACAGCGATACCTTTTTACCTTTTTATTACCTAACAAGTAATCAATTGAACTACTGTTTACACCGTTACAACGCCATTAAAAAAACAATGAAAAATGCACATTACTATAATTGAGAACACTGAAGAGGTTTTTATGCAAGCAGCGTCTGTCTAAGCCATAGAACCTCTCTTTCTCTGGGGCTGGGGTGGGACCTACTACCATCCAGTGATGATGATTGGTGTGTCTGTGAACATGGTGTAACTGAAAACGTGATGATTGGCTTAAATATTTCTATAAAGCACACGCACAGTCAGTCGCACACACCAACGACCAGGAGTCAGACTGATGGAAAATCCAACAAGTTCAAAGGTAGCTTTTGCAAACTGAAAATATAAGCATAAAAGGTATAAATGAGTCTCTCTGCGTCGGTGATCATATAAAAAAAGTAATTCTAATTTAATGAAGCACCTCACGTCGTCACATGCCATCACAAAATTAGTGGCTAGGAATGAAAGTGATAACATGTGCTGTTACCAAAGGAGAAGACAAAGCCACGATGTAAAAGTGAATAAACCTGATTTTCGCAAACACATATTACTCAGAAAGAATTAAACAAAATAATTCTGAAAAAAAGTTCAAAACATCTATTGTGTTTTAATGTGCAACAATAGTAATAATATAATGCTTTAGTGATATGTTGAATTCGGTGATTGTCTCTCACATTGTCCCACAACAAGATTAAAATAGTGTAGATTAGTGTACACTGTTTTATATTTATGTTATAGTCATTTGACAAATTAGATTTTTTTTTTTTTAAGTAGCACAATAGTTATAATAGTAATTTGTTAATTTTATAAAAATGTAACTCAGTTACTAACTCAGTTACTATTTGTAAGAAGTAACTAGTAACTATAACTAAACTCTTTTTTAAAGGAACATGCCAAACACTGGTTAGCATAACACATCATTTGCTATCATCAATATTTTTTAAATATAGAGAGAAAAATGTACAAAATTAAACTGCTTCTCTTAAAGCTTAAAGTAAAGTCAAACATTCCAACAAAGCTTTGGAATTAAATAATAGTAAATAAAATGAAACTGAACTTTCCTTTTAGGTTGAACTAACAGAATAATTAACTTTAGGACTAAAAAGAGCTTTCCAAGCAAAGTTGCAAACAAATGCAAGTAAATAATCATAAACCAGAATCCTGCCCTTAAAAAAAAAGTCCAATTTCCAATTATTAGATTTTTTTTACAGCAAAACAATAAAAACGTAATTGTGTTTCACACTGATAACAATACCCGCATGAGCCTTTTTACGGTTTATTTAATTGAATCTGTAGGCCCTATTATCATTAAAATCTCACTCAATTTATGCAAATTAACTGTCTGCTTTCTTTCATTTATAAGCCTGTTAGTAAACAGTGAGCCAGCAGATGCGGAAATTGCAGATTAATTCTCTGGAGATGCACTAATGACCATCTGTGATGGAATAAACATTAAAAGAAATACAAAAGGAACATTTTAACCGACAATCAATCTTCTATGTGCTTCTATTAGTGCCTTTAGCCATGTTTAGAATGGAGTACTAGCGCAATCTGCAGTTTATACTATAGTTAAAGTGCCCTTTTATGCTTTATGGATATTACCTTTCATATTTTGGCATGTAAACAGTTTGCTAAGTGTGAGATAAAATTAGTTATTTGGAAAAAAAAGAAAAAAAGATTCTGAACTGATGCTTGAAACTTTGTAAACCAAAAGTGTCAGTCTATATTATTCAATGGCTGCACACAGGCAATGCAGTTGAACCAAGGGTCTGAAAGAGACTTGGAATGTACATATCCTTTAACACTTTTAAAACTATGCTGGTGTTTCGCATTGCATTAATTTATTTGTTTATTTAGTTCATTGAACTAATGTCATTCCCAGTTCCAGCAAAGCGAACAGGCAAAAGAAAGCAGGTATTTTTTTTTTACTAATGATTCTAAGAACTGTGAAAATCAGTGAAATCAATGCGAAAGATTACCATTACTGTTTGTATTACTGTGTGTGTGTGTGTGTGTGTGTGTGTGTGTGTGTGTGTGTGTGTGTGTATGTATATGTATGTATATGTATATGTATATGTATATGTATATATATATATATATATATATATATATATATATATATATATATATATATATATATATATATGTATGTATGTATGTATGTGTGTATACGCATCGAATCAAAGGAAAAGAGGATTACCTGAATGGACAGTGATTTTACTTCACTAATAACACAAAAAGTACAAATGCAGCAAACACATTGTTTTAACTTTCAATAATCTGTATATTTGGCACGTATAGCTCTAGCGTCAGGAAGTTCTCCGATTATTATTGTGATTTTTTTTTTCATGTGCTTTTGAAGAGGTAAATGATGATTGTAAAGTGCATCGTTAACTAAGTAACTTTTTGGGGGGAGTAACTCAATATTGTAATTCATTACATCCAAAAGTTACTTTCCCCAACACTGCTATTAGCATCTGAATACATTTAAAAAGTAATCTGGATGTGGCAGTCACATAAATCAGACGAAGGAAGACACGGCTACCTGATCTTTGAGCGCATGGATGGCCATCTCATGCTCTTTCTGTTTACTCTGCAACTGCTCCTTAAGCTCGCCCACATTCTGAAATCACACACACACAAACTGTCAAGCAGGAAGATTCAATGCATTTTTAGCATGACAGTGATGGATGCAGCAGTGTGTCCACGCTCCATTAATCTCTGCAGATGTGCCTCAGTGCCAGAGACTGATCCTGAAGCACTGACTGCAGTCTTTAGTCCACTCCCAAGGGTTTGCAAATGCTTATCATCATACTCCCTTAGAGGCCATCCATCGATTGCCCTCTGAGATGTGCAACAAATGGGGTTTAGTGCTGCAGATTTTGGCAGGGCGGGCCCGAGCGGATCTCACCTGGTTGGCGGCCATTAAATCCGTCTGCAGTTTCTGCACACGAAGGTTTATGGATTTGAGCTCCTCCTCTTTCCTCTGTTGGATCTCATCAATTTTAGTCCTGTAGAAAGAAAATACATGGTACGCTATTAGAAGTTTGACTAATGCATTGCATGGTCTACGCCGTTATTTGTGGGTCATTTACATCACGCTACTTGCATTATATTTGCATTGCCTCACACAATGAACATTACATATATTTATATATGATGTATAAGTAGTCACAACAAATGTCAACAACACAGTGTTGCTACTTTTTCTGAAACAACAGCACAGCGGATAACAGTAAATCTAATTACTATTATTTATTACAGATGATTTATTTTCTTATTAATTTTTAATGGTTTGTTTTTTCATCTTATTTTGTGTTAAAAACAACTCAATTTTCTCAAATATATTTAGTTTTCTTTATAAACACAAAATAAGATGAAAAAAATAAACAAATTCGAATTTAATAATTAATAATATAGTTAATTTCTTGTCAAAAACCTGATGCGGCCCAGCCTCACCCTGGCTCGGCCTCCAGTGGCACCAAGGTAAATTGAGTTTGAGACCCCCGAGTTAGATTGTTTTGTTTGATTTATTTCTTTCTATTAGCAACAATTTATTTACATTCCAATTTTTTAAATTCATTGTTTCTTATCATTATTTTAATAAATTACTATTTTCTTACACGTTTTAATAAATTACTATTTTCTTACATGTGGCCTCTCTCATTTTCACCTAGCATCAGCAGCACTCACTTAGTGTTACATCACATCCTTTATAACAACCTAAACACATAACACCCCTAAATTTGAAGATAAATATGCAAAAATTCCCATTCACACTTAAATACACATGAAACGTAAAACAAATAAATCTGATGTAAGATTTAAAGGGATCATTCACCCAAAACTGAAAAAGCATATCATCGTTTACTCGCCCTTTACTCATTCCAAAACTGTTGGTCTTTCTTTCTTCTGCTGAACAGAAAAGAAAATATTTTAAAGAAAGTTAAAAACCTGTAACCATTGACTTCCATAGTATTTAATTTCCCTATTATGGAAGTCAATGGTTACAGGCTTTTAACTTTCTTCAAAATATCTTCTTTTGTGTTCAGCAGAAGAAACTTATAAAGGTTTGAAACCACTTGAAGGTAAGTAAATAGTGAGTAAATTTTCATTTTTGAGTGAACTATCCCTTTAAATCTTCCCACATTTCTTTCTCTTTTTTGCAGCAAAGAAGGTTCTCTCATTAAAAACATTCCTAAACCTTTTCCTATTGTTTCAAGTTAAGTATTGCATTCATCCTCAGATAAAAATTAGTTGAGGTACTGATTCACACTATAAACTACTGGCTTATAACCTGCTTGCTGTTAAGATACTGGCTGTTTAATACCACTTATAAAGTATGATCTTATTCTAAATCGCTAATTCAACCCATCTACTACCTTGCTAATTATTAATAAGCAGCAAATAAGAAGTTTACTGAGCTAAGAGTCTTAATAGTTTAATAGTGAGAATTATGCATTAAAATAAACCATGGGCAAATTAAATAAATAAATGGAACATACATTTCTAGAACTATGTTTTAAAACACACAGAGACAGAACATAGATAGTCCCTGCTGAGCTGCCCTTTTGGGTTTGTCTCTCTCTCACCTGCTGTCATTGTAAAGTACTTCCTTCTCGACTTGTAGCCGCTGGAAGCTATAAGAGAAGAAAAAAAGAGACTTGAATCCTCAATGGCCCTAAAAAAGCAGCACACAGCAGTGATAAATAACAGGCAGGGTCTCCTGAGCAGGGACAGGAGTCAGTGCAGTGTGTGCTGATCCAGCATCTACAGCCAGTGCCGGCTAAACACGTTCACGTTCAGACTCATTACTCTGACATAGTGACTGTCGCTCTGCAACAGCTGAGTTGCCCAGGATGGAAACCCAAGTGGTGATGTCATCATGTTACGACCAGAACTTTTTAATTTTTGCTCCAAATGTGCAAGCAGCCACCATACGTTTCTCCCTGTGTGTGTGTGTGTGTGTGTGTGTGTGTGTGTGTGTGTGTGTGTGTGTGTGAGTTTGTTATTTGTGAGCTTGTAGGCTAAGTATGTGTGTGCCTGTTTGTATGTTTATTTGTGTGTATGTTTGTTTTTGTTTGTGTGTTTGTTTTGTGTGAGTTTGTTTTTGTGTGTATGTTTGTTATTTGTGTGCTTGTATGAGTATGTGTGTGCCTGTTTGTATGTTTATTTGTGTGTATGTTTGTTTTTGTGTGTGTGTTTGTTTTGTGCGAGTTTGTTTTTGTGTGTATGTTTGTTATTTGTGTGCTTGTATGAGTATGTGTGTGCCTGTTTGTGTTTGAATGTATGTTTGTATCTGCTTGTATGGTTGTTTTTGTGTGTGTGTTTGTGCATGTTTGAGTGTGTGTATGTGTATATCTGTTTATGTGTTTTTGTTTTTTGTGCTTCTGTGAGTATCTGCTTGTGTGTGTATGTATGTTTGTGTGTTTTTGTGTATTTGTGTGTGTATATGTGCTTCTTTATGTGAGTATATTTGTTATTTGTGTGCTTGAATGAGTATGTGTGTGCATGTTCACTTGTATGTTTATTTTTTGTGTTTGTGTATGTATCTGCTTGTATGGTTGTTTTTGGGTTTGTGTGTGTGTGCGTGTGTGTGTGTATATATATATGTGTGTGTATATGTGTGTTTTGTGTGTGTGTACCTGCTTGTATGGTTGTTTTTGTGTGCATGTTTGTGTGTGTGCGTGCGTGCGTGCGTATGTGTGTGTATCTGCTTTTGTGTGGTACGTGGGCTTCCTCCTAGTGGTATGCAGAGGAATCGCTGAATAACAAAATAAACAATTAACCCTTTAAATCTTTTGACGTGTACGAAAACATCGATGTGATCAGCATTGGCTGTTGCCTGAAGCGTACGATCACAGGCGCTGTGCTTAGAATGTTTATTTCAGAATAAACAACTTAAAATGTAATGTTTTGTTGGAATAATGCTTCTCGGATATTATCACTATAGAGATGTCTAAGTTATTAGCAAGAATAACTTTGAGTAATCAAACCGCGGACATATTTTCATGCATTATGTAGCATAGTAAAGCAAACCTAAAGTCAAACTGTAACAGTCATACTCTGAGATTACACAATACATTCATTTTCTTTCAGCTTAGTCCCTTATTTATCAGGCATCGCCACAGCAGAATGCACCGCCAACTTCTGGCATATGTTTTACGCAGTGGATGCCCTTCAAGCTGCAAGCCAGATCTGGAAAATTACACAATACAATTTTATTTAAAAAAAGGGGAGGTAAAATAAATCTAAAAATTGGTCTCTGAATCAGCTTGTTAAAAATATTAAATAAATAAATAAATATGAAATTTAAATCAAAAATATCTAAAATAATATGGCTTTTATTCTCTATCTTTATCCATGTTAAGCTGCTTTGGCACAATCTACATAGAAATAAAGATGAATTGAATTGAATGAAAAATCGAGAATGGTGCAATACTTTTATAAAGGGCTACTATACTAAAGAAAAGTGTACTGTAGACTCAAGTTAAACGGAGAACTGTGAGTCATTTATCTTGTGCCTGAAGAGGTAATGTGTTCAAATGGAACATCATCCATTAATACTGTCGTTAACTTTCATTCCTCCATATTTCAGCAGGTTTCGTGTAAAATCTCTCCATCACTGTCTCGCTCAATTAATCATTGCTAGTTGCAGATTTAGGCGGGTTTAAAAGGTGCACTCATCTTCCCTCATTAAAAAAGTTTGACCAATAAAATAAAAATAAAAAGAATACTGCTTTTAAAAACTTGCATAAGAATTCAGTTCTATGCGCAGTCTAATAGAACAGACATAATGATATCGAAATAACCAGTTAAATACCATTCAGCTTTCTGTGACTAGAAACTTTTTCACAAGCATTAAATGAACCACAGATGACAGATGCATTTATATAATGGATTGCTTTGCTAGTCTGGTATCATTAAATCACATCAGTTGTCATGTTAGAATGCAAAAACATATCTTTAACTCTCATAATGCATTCAAAATTAGTACACTGTATATCAGTTATACTTTTTTAAAATTAAAATTATCTATCTATCTATCTATCTATCTATCTATCTATCTATCTATCTACCTATCTACCTACCTATCTACCTATCTACCTATCTATCTATCTATCTATCTATCTATCTATCTATCTATCTATCTATCTATCTATCTATCTATCTATCTATCTATCTATCCATCTATCTATCCATCTATCTATCCATCCATCACACAAAATTCAGCCCCAAATGTGTCAGATATAGGGTCAGATATAGTATCAGAATTTTTTTTTTTTTACCTTTTAACTTGCATATTGACATCCAAAATAACCCAAACACAAATCTCGCAACATTTTAAAACTGTTATACCACTTAATAAATAATTGTAAAGGTTGTTAAAGCATTTGCAAAGTTTTTGCAATGTGTTATTCAAAACTACATTAAGAGTTCTTAAGAGAAAAATTTGTAAAACAACCTCTCAAATATTTTAATAGATGTAAATAGAAAATGTCTCTGTATTTATTAGGTGATTTTTGGATCAATGTTTTACATTATATGCAAAAATGACAAAAAAGAACGCACATATAAATTGAGAAGTGCTTAACATATTGTATCATCAAAACAACTATCACTTACCTCTCTTGTTTTTTCTTTAATTTATCAGTCAACTAATTTAAAAAAAAGAAAAAATATATATTAATATGAACACTGGCATTTTTATTTGTGAGCACAAATACAAACTGAAACGGACATGTGACACTTACTTTAGCACTTTCTTCTTGTAGTTTTGTAATTTCTGCCTGCTTGGAAATCTGAAGATGAAAAAAACATCCATTTAGCACACACCTCAACTAACTTTTTGCAAAGGACTGTGCATGATGTTAATAACTAGAGTCATAAAGAGAAGTGTTTTAGTATTAGTACAGAACATGGATAAATCAAACAATCTGTCAATTAAAAAGAACTGTAGACAGATACATTTTTAAGATTAACAAAAAAAATACAAGAAACACAATATAAAAAATAAAATAATATAGGAATTACGGATTTTGACATACAGTACAGAACAAAATATAATTCCATTTGTCAGTCTACAAGCAAGAAGTTTAATATTATTAAACTGCAAACAGCTTCTACATATATACATCTAATGAGGGATGTACTGAAAAGTTTGGAACAGGAGAAAAGTTACAAAAAAGAAGTCTTTTTTAAAAAAAAAAAGAGTCTCTTAAAAAATAAGACAAATTCTACAAAATCTGACAATCTTTCATGGATTATTTTAAAGAGATAAATTCTGCAGAAAATGTTTAAATTGGAGAGGATTAGACTTATGTAGATTGTAATTTAAATTCTTTTTAATTTGTATTTTATCGTTGTGTATATGTATGTTGGACCAAATGTGTATGCCATTGTGAATTGAATGTTGAAAAAATAATTAAGGAAGTTATAAACAAATAATGAATAAAATAATATTAAAATAATAATAAAATAATAACATTAAATAGACAAAAGATAACAAACTAAAAAAGATTAACCTAAAAATATATCATTTTATTTAATAAAAAAAAAAACATTTATTTATTTCTGAATACATTTTAAAATGTCCTGTTCTCTCTTAAAACATTTTACATGTTCAATCACAAATATGAATGTATTCTCTGGTGCAAGGTGAGAATGAATGTGTCCTAAATTAGCACCTTCTGTGAGGGTAAAAATACACACTCATCAGCACAATTACTCCTAGCGTTTTGTCCTTTTGTCTGTTTCCTGCTGTCCTGCGTCTTTAGAGGGTAAAAGTGATGTTTTTACCTCTAGTGTCTGGAGTTGTTCCCTCAGTAAGCATTTCTCCTCCATTTCTGTTTGAAGCTTTAATGCCACCTCTGAAACCAAACGTTAACAGATATTAATACACCCAACACTGAAAATATCTTGGTTCCCAGTCAAACTTATAACATTGTGCTGCTATATGAAGATCCAGAAGACAAAAAAAATCCCTGGTTCTACTCAGTTAACTCTTCAGTGAGCTTGATAAGGTCAAAGCTTTAAAAGGAAGTTGTCAGAATAATGTACTCACCCCTCACTTCATTTTCTCGCTTTTCTGCTTTAACACTTTGCAGGTCGGCCTATAAAACACAGGAGACAAAATAAAAAAGGATTTTAACATTAAAGTATTTTCATACAAAAAAGCTACATAAAATAAGTAACACTGAATAAAAAATGCTTTGTATATTGAAAGTAATGGCATCTTCAGCTTACTTTATGCATCTTGAAACAAATGAATCCTGTTTACAGCTGTTTGTAACAATATGATAGTCATTTTATGATTGTAAAAACGTTCTCCACCACTTAAAAGGTTACATTGCATATATACAATTTTAGCACATCCATGTACTTTTTTATAATAGTGTATCAAGATGTTCAAACTTTAAAAACAAACCCCAAGGCCTGTTTTTTTCCCTTCCCTGCAGGTTTGCATGAACAAACCCTTAAACAAGCAAAAGCATGCAGGCTGGGGGAAAATATTAACCAATAACCTTACAGCTTACTTTTTTGTTATCCAATGAAATTGAGAGAAAAATCTATTCCCATGCAACATGCTGGATGTTCTGTTTCACTTTGAAATTGTGCCACATTGACTTTAATCAACTGAGTTGTATAAACACTGCATATATTGTACTGTGCAAAAGTCCTAAGCACTATATTACCTTTTTGGCCTTTGTTTTTGGCACAATAGATAATTAATAAGTCTCTTTATTAAAAAAGGTGATTTCATACAGCCTCTATAATATTCAGGTCTGGACCCTTTGGAGGCCACTCTTTCTCCAAATAGGATTTCACTGCAATTAGCGGATCATGATCATGGTGAAAATGAAAACTATTATCACTGAAGTCCTTTCCAGAAGTAATGGTATAATGGGTTGAAGCTAGGCATGGGACGATAACCGTTTTCAAGGTTTGGAAAAGTCAAGATTTTAAAATTAGCAAAACTTCAGCTATACCGTTCCTATGGTGTGTGTAAGGTTTTTTACTTTTTTTTTATTTTTTTTTTAGGTCAAACAGTATCTCCAGCTAAAAAAAAAAAAGATATCCAAAGATGCCATTTTAAATTGTGAAGAAATCTGTTTTATTTAACAAAAAAAAAAGACAGCAGAAGTCAATGATTCATTTGAATTATTTAGCATGACATGTTTACTGCTACAAAATATTATAATGTTTTCCAAAATAAAATATATGTGTTCAAATGGGAAAACAGTATTTGATTTTTACACAGACTTTTAAAAAGAATCTATTTTAGAGCAGTAAGCACAATACCTTGACACCGTGATATTATACCGTTAGAATCTTATACCGGCCCATGCCTAGTTAAAACCTATATGTATTTTTAAACTTTCACAATTCCATAAATTCAGACAATATTGCTTTCAACACTGTTAGAATTGCAGCTAAAACCAGGACAAACAGGCTCTCTCTAACAATTTCTTTCCCTGTTCTTAAACAATAAAAAAAAAATCATTCAAACTCTAACCTAACCCTTATCCTAACAAACCAAACGTCAACTAAAAGATAATTTGTTTACCCTGTAATCTCAATTAAAAAAAAAAAAACACTTACACTTACATTTTATCATCAGTAAAACAACAGATTTAATGTTGGCCTAAAACTTTTTGTTAAAAACTGTACAGTTGCTTACACAAAATAAGATGCTTAAAGAATTTTTATTATGTCGGAGGTGTGGTAGTCAAACACCAGGCACCAGTTCACTGTCCTCACATTCCCTTTAGCTTTACTGGGCAGACCTCACAGAAAAAAGCTGATGGTGGTGTCTCTGCAATGTCTGGCCACAGTTCACGCAGCATCTGTAGCGTCTGCATTAAACATGACCTCGGAGAACTCCAACAAGCTCCTCCAGATGAAGAGTGCAGCACTGCGCAGCTGAATAATTGATTGCTTCTGAAACTCGACTGTTAGGATACTCTGACTGCAACTTGTTTACTTAAACTTAAACTCAGATTTTTAGCAAGGTGCTTGAGAATAGCAGACTGTTCAAAACTTGAAAATTACCACAAACATAACAAGACTCTTCACAACAACTGTGGCTTGCAGTGTAGACATCATGGCATCTAAGATTCTTGGTTTTGCTACACTGTGATTTTTTCCTTATTCCAGTAGAGGCTGTGACCATTAAATTTAAAGTCTCTCTCATTCTAAAAGCCAGGTTTACTAAGAAAGTACAAATTTATGAGATGCAGGACTCCAGAGTCCGAGTATTTGGTCGCATTTGGCAGCCTCTGTCCTGTCAGTGTTATAAAACTTTGCTAGAGGGCACACTGGTTCCTCTACTGCAGTGTTTACCAACCCTGTTTCTGAAGGCACAGCAACAGTACACATTTTTAACCTCTCCATAATCAAACAAACCTAAAGCAACACATTAGAACATGAGGCACTCTAAAACCTGAAGTTAATGGGTCAAATAAGGGAGACATTCAAAATATGTATTGTTGGTGTGCCTCCAGGAACAGGGTTGGCAAACACCGCTCTACTGAACTGATGAGTAATGACGTATAAATAGTGTGTATGTGAAACTGCACGCCACACCATTTACCAGCTCAGCTAGAGTAAATGTCCTAGATCGAATGTTTTTTTGTTTAAATTACCACTAAACAATGTGGTGAAGTCTGGATGTGACAATAAATTTATGTATGCACTAAATGTTGGGCTGTGGAAAATTATCAGATGAAAATGGAATTTAGTTTTTCCGTCGGAGAGGAAAATGGGTGGGAAATTTGAGCTAAATAAAAAAAGCAGAGGTTTAAACTCTCCTACCAGTCAATCACTGCGACAAGTAAATTGCTTTCACACCAGACACGGAAAGCAATGCACTATGAAACCCATTCATTTCCATGAAGCATACCGTCGATTAGTTTGCACACATGCCTTGGTAAAAGTTCAAAACAACTCAATATTCTGCTCTGTAGATATTTCGCTCATGTAATCATATACATATGCCTGAACAGAAAGTCCGCTCAAATAACATATCGACAGTACATTTCTATGCAGTATACTTGTTCCTGTTCAATTCATGTCACAACTGCTAAAATGATGCATCTAAACTTGTTCACCGTCTATAAAATGTGATTATTTTACGGTTTAGTTTTGTTTAAAAGTTAATGTGTTACATTTTAAAATTCTTGCATAATTACTATACTTATCTTACATAACTTCTAATATAGAATAAAATAATAAAGAATTAGTTGTCGATCAAATGCATCTAGAGTTTTGGTCTCATTTTCTAAATCCCTAAAAAAAAGTTTTTGAGATATGAATTTTCAAAATGCATCATAATTCTCTTGCATCCAACTCCTTGCAAATACCACCTGAACCTAACATAATTATTAAAATTAGGAAACGTTTAAGCAAATTACATGAGTGATTAGGGGTGTCAAAATTAATTGTTTCTTCGGTGCACCACGATGCAGCCACGGACAATTCGGTATCGATTCAGTAATAACCATAACCGGTTATTATGTTGTGATGTCATTTATCTCCTATGCGCTCTGTCGCGAGGAAGGTGAGCGCCGTTATTTACAATACTCAGCCAACTCAGGGCCGGCCCGTGGCATAGGCACCATAGGTAAATGCTTAGGGCGCTGTATATCCAGTGGGGCGCCAGAAATGAGCGCGGTTCAGTTGGTTTTGTTTTCGATTTTCCTGACACACATTCAGTTATAGACGGCAATAACTCAAAAAACGCTTACCCTAAAAAGATCTAAAGTGTGTTTCCTACAGAAAGACAAAGCTGGTTATGTTTCACAGCTGTCTTTCTTTTTTTCGCTCGACATTACGAGCACTGCTCCGTTTAAGCTCTCGCAGTCTGCGTTTATTTTAGCTGGCAGAGCTCGCGCTGAGAGGAGCTCTCTGCAAGGGACCGTCGGAAAAGTGCTTGTTTTTTTCGTTTTTCCGTTTTTGTGCTCCGCTCAGTGCGAGCTCTCCCTGTTGCAAGGGCTTAAGTGTGTTTGTTTGTGTGTGTGTGTGTGTGCGCGTGTTTGTTTGTTTGATGCTGTCTATGTTTGTGAATGTGTTTGAATGAGAGACAGTGTGTTGCTGTGTGTCTGTGTGTTTATACAGACAGCATGTTATAGCCTCCCCCTAAAATATAACACTATATATGGAAAGGATCGTTAATGCACCATGATGCACCGAGATATTAAATTGAACCGAATCGATGGCATGATAATCGTAACCGAACCGAACCGTGAGACCAGTATAGGTTCACACCTCTAAGAGTGATTATGCGAGCTGTGGTTTTATATTTATCAAAAGCCACCAAACCCAACACACATGATTCAGCCGAACACACAATCGCTCATCTTTATAAGCATGTGGCTATCCTAGAGCACCATCTGCTGTTACAAACTACGCTGAGAATTGATTTAAGAAAGAAAAGTGATGCAGAATTGATTTCTAATCCCCTTTTCACCACAGCTCTAGTGAAATCCCATGAAAAATGTTTATGCTTGTTACAACTCTCTAACTATATTAAACTATTTTGAGGCACCTGAATCAGCAGTATTATTTTCCATAAAACTGGAAAAACTGTTAAAATATTATGCAACATCCATGATTTAAGAAGGTTCTTTACTCCACAAATTAACAAATATTACCATGGCAAAAATGTGGGATGTTTAAACAAAATGTTAGTGTTCTTAACATATTCTATATTTAAATACATTTTTTTATTTAAATATTCTTCTCCCAAAAACTATTAGAGAGGGATAGATTTTTCATTGCAAGTCTTGACAGCAGCTTTTAAACGTTAAAAGTTTTCCAAGCTGTAAATAAACCTGAAACCTTTTGATCAAGCATAACAATCCAATGACACTAAAAAACCCATTATCTATTACCTGATCGGTTTGATCATTTCCTGAGGCAGAAGAGTCATTACTGTGACCACTGGCATCTGACTGGACACCATTAGTGCCAGTCGATCCATCAACGAGCGCTGCTTTTCCACCATTACCATCTGCTATTTCCTGGAGAGCTACAAAGACACACAAAAATATAACAATGGACCCCCCTAAGATCATAATTTTTATCTTTAAGTGTACATGTGAGGAAAAACACATGATGACTGACAGCATGACCTCCACTCACCTGTTAACTTCTTCTGCAGGGCAGAGTTTTCAGCCTGTAGACGCAGTAGCTCAGCATCCACTGGAGCAGAAGCAGGGCTGCAGGCGGGTTTTTCCAGCCCTTTACCATCCCTCAGTCCTTGATTCTCTGATTCCAACAGCTCAATCTGAGAACACAGCTACAACAGCACGACACAACCGGTCAGAAACATTAGTCCGGAGTGACAATGCACAAGTGGGGTTTTTTAAACCTAAATTTAAATTATGGTTAAATTAAGGTCCTTGAAGTTGGTCCATGTTTCAACCAGATTTGGGTTAAAACAGCCGAGCATTTTTTTTTTAAAGGCAACTATTATTAAAATCAACTTTTGTAAGCTGTTTGGACAGAACTGTGTCTAGGGATAGTGTGTACACAGTCATACTGGAGTGATACAAACACAAGTTTTTTTTTTATTTTAATTTTCCTGACGTTAAAATAGGACTACAATCTCAGTGATTTCGAGGCCCACTGCAAGGTGACGCAGGAGTGCGGTTTTCCCCACCCACCAAATCGATTGACAGGCACCATTTTATTTTTTTTTTTAGAAAAACATGTACACACATCCACTTTTTTTGCAAATAAATTGAAATAAAAAATTTTGTTACAATCCTCAGCGATTTTTATAAGTTTAAAATGTTTTAAAACAAAGCTTGATTATAATAAAGACAGTAAAATCGCCATGTAATTCTTTACGGCTATAATCACCATGGCTTTATGATGTCAGTAAACACTAATGTGTATGTGTGTGTATACTGCAAATGGCATTTGTGTGAGACTCATTTCAGAAAGGCTTAAATAAACTTGAGTGTGTGTCTATCACTGCGCTGTTTATCTAATGTCATGCATGAGAAGCAGACAAGCATGTATGAGCGTTGGGCGGGGAGAAGCAGCTCATTTGGATTTAAAGCCACACGCTACAAAAACAGTTACAGTACAAAGTATTCAGAGACCAAAATGGGCAGATTCTGGAGGCTATAATTATTTATCTATAATTTATTTAGCTGAAACTTTAAAGATACAGTCTGGAGACACCGAAAGCTTATCTCACATCTTGTAAAAAGAGTAAAATATGTATCCTTTAAGTTTGATCAAAGGTTAAAGGGATCATAAAAAGTGACATTATTTATGGTATGCTAGTTTTGTAAGTTTTGCATTGCTATTAAAAAGTTAGGGGTTAGTACTGTATTTACTTATTTCGTTCTATTAATTATTTTTTCTACAACAAGCATGTAATGAATGACATTGAAGACATTCATAATGTTACAAAAGATTTCCATTTCAATTACATGTTGTTCTTTTAAATTTTTGTATTCATCAAATAAAAGACAGCTTCTACAACATATTAAGCTTTTTTCACCATTGAATAATATACAGTTGAAGTCAGAATTATTAGCCCCCCTTTGAAATTTTTTTCTTTTTTAAATATTTTCCAAATTATGTTTAACAGAGAAAGTCTTACTAGTTTTATTCCGGCTAGGATAAAAGCAGCTTTTATTTTTAAATACTATTTTAGGGACAAAATTATTAGCCCCTTTAAGCAATTTTTTTTCCATAGTCTACAGAACAAAGCATCGTTATACAATAACTTGCTTAATTACCCTAACCTGCCTAGTTACCCTGATTAACCTAATTAAGCATGTCACTTTAAGCTGTATAGAAGTGTCTTGAAAAATATCTAGTCAAATATTATGTACTGTCATCATGACAAAGATAAAGGAAATCAGTTATTAGAAAGCAGTTATTAAAACTATTATGTTTAGAAATGTGTTGATAAAATCTGCTCTCCATTAAACAGAAATTGGGGGAAAAAAACAGGGGGGGCAATATATATGTCATGTATATTTTTTAATGTTTGCTTAGCATAATTCAGTGTAGAAAATGTAATTCTGAGTTCATGTGACAAAAAAAGACTGAAGTAATAGCTGCTGTAAGTAAAATAAATGAGAAATTGTTTTTACACCCACTTTATGTTATTTGAGCAGTAAAGTTATCTAAACTGTTCAATTAGTGATGTCACTACTGTGTAAAACAAATTTTTATGTTATACATTTTTGATAATTTTTCTGCGAGTATGAAAAATCAGCTTCAGATACATTTGTGCATAAAGTTACAGTGTTGACATGTTCATGATAATGAAAGCACCTTGGACAGCTCTTGCATGAGGGTGCTGTTCTGCAGTCTGAAATCATCCTCTTGACTGTGTAACTTGCCCTGAAGCATCTTATTCTCATTGATTAAGGCATCTACCTCCTAAAAAAAACAAAATAATCAGGCATGGTTACTAGACATAATTTTTTTTACATGATACTTTAGATGTTACAACGTGATTACATTTTTTTCAGAAATAAAAAAAGAAATTGCTGAAAATTGATAAACATTGACTTCCTTAGTAGAAAAAACAAATAACATGGAAGTCAATGGTTACCGGTTTTCAACTTTCTTCAAAATATCTTCTTTTTTGTTCTACAAAAAAAAAGCTTTGTGACAAGTAAAAAGTGAGTAAAAGATGAAAGAATGTTCAATTTTGGTTAAACTATCCCTTCAAACACTAACGAAGTATATATGGAAAAGCAACTTTGTGGTTATCAGCATGCTTTAAAATATTTTCCATAGTGTAAGCAGAAGAAAAAAAAATTATTAGAGGTTTGAATATACATAGACTTGATAAAATCAAGGTAGAATTTACAATTTTGGAAAAATTCTACATTTTAACACAGAAAATAAATTAATATTAATAAATAATAATATCAGCAGCAATCTTACCTGTGCTTTCTTACTCTTGTTCAAAGCCTAAGGGGGATTGAAAAAGAAAAGATTGTCAATAATAAAACAAAATCAATTCATAACTGGCAGAAAGAAGCAGGATTTACAAGCTATAAAGTTATAAAACCAATGACATACTGATTGTATGATCTAAGTCATGGGAACAAATGTCATATGATAACATGCATAACATTCAGTGCACTTTGAAAGTGAATAAAGTAGAACAGCAAAAATGATTCATATGAAAATGTTCAGCAAACTACCTTATTGTAACATTTATAAGAATAACTAAAATGCAATGCAAATGCAAATGCAATTACTATTTCTCTGTATTATTTAGGCCTATCGGCAACTTACACTCACTGGCCACTTTATTAGGTACACCTGTCCAACTAGTTAATGTATATTATTAATCATACAATCACATGGCAGCAACTCAATGCATTTAGGCATGTAGGCATGGTTAAGATGATCTGCTGCAGTTCAAAACAAGCATCAGAAGGGCAGAAGAAAGGTAATTTATGTGACTTTGAACGTGGCATGGTTGTTGGTGCCGGACAGGCTATTCTGAGTATTTTAGAAACTGCTGACCTACTGGGATTTTCACGCACAACCATCTCTAGGGTTTACAGAGAATGGTCTGAAAAAGAGAAAATATCCAGTGAGCGGCAGTTCTGTGAGTGCAAATGCCTTGTTGATGCCAGAGGTCAGAGGAGAATGGCCAGACTGGTTCCAGCTGATAGAAACACAACGGTAACTCAAATAACCACTTTTTACAACCGTGGTATGCAGAAGAGCATCTCTGAATGAACAACACGTCCAAACTTGGGGCTGATGGGCTACAGCAGCAGAAGACCCCTCCGGGTGCCACTCCTGTCAGCTAAGAACCTAAGAACAGGAAACTCACCAAAGGGTCACCAAAATTGGACAATAGAAGATTGGAAAAATGTTGCCTGGTCTGATGAGTCTCGATTTCTGCTGCAACATTCAGATGGTAGGGTCAGAATTTGGCATCAAAACATGAAAGCATGGATCCATTCTGCCTTGTATCAACGGTTCAGGCTGGTAGTGGTGGCAGGCAGTGGATTGGCACTTGGCAACCCTTGGGCCCATTAGTAATAATTGAGCATTGGGTCAACACCACAGCCTACCCGAGTATTGTTGCTGATCATGTCCATGCCTTTATCACCAGAGTGTACCCTTCTTCTGATGACTACTTCTAGCAGGATAACAAGCCATTAAATAAAGCGTGAATCATACTGATTTATACTGACAATGAGCTCACTGTACTCAAATGGCCTCCTTAGTCACCAGAACTTAATCCAATAGGGCACATTGGGGATGTGATGGAACGGGAGATTCACATCATGGATGTGCAGCCAACAAATCCGCAGCAACTGCACGACGCTATCAAGTCAATATGGACTAAAATCTCTAAGGAATATTTCCAGTTTCCTGTTGAATCTATGCCTGAAGGATTAAGGCAGTTCTGAAGGCAAACCCCGGTACTAATAACTTATACCTAATAAAGTGACCGATGAGTGTATATTTAAATGACTTTTAAATTCAGCACGGTTTTAAATATCTCAATCTATCAGTTTATTATTAATCTTTTTGAGCTCCTCTCATATCCAAGCATATCCAATGCGCAAAACATGCTGGATAAGTTGGCGGTTCATTCCACTGTGGCAACCGCTGATTAATAAAGAGACTAAGCCGAAAATAAAAAAAATGCACGTCTTGGTCATTTATTCTTAAGTTCATCCTTTTTAATTATTATTTATTATTATTTAACAACCTCCTGTATTCCTGTATTGTGTTTATTACATGCATTTTTAGTGTTCACTGTTATTTGCTGATTATCTGCCATGTTTGTATTCACATAATTTTAAAATGAAATAATAAAAATTTGATGGAGTATTTAAAGTTAAATGATAAAATAGGACTTATACACACAGATGCAACTAGTTTGTGTGTTTATTTCCCTCTCAACGGTGCAAACTGAGGTGTGACTTACTTTCTGGGCAATACAGGCCAGATTTTATGGATATATTGGGTTGTAGAATGTACTGTGCTGTATTCTGATTATTAAACACTCTCTGCAACATCAGTGCAAGTCTAGTGATTTTGTGTTGTAATGCACTAAAAATGTTTCAGGGCTGTTAAACAGTGCAACATAAGGAAAATGCTTTCTTGTGAGGGAGGAAACAATGGAAGAAATGGCAGAAACCAGTGCAGTCAATTACTTCAAGCCCATTAAAACGGAGAGCGAGAAAGCAAAGCAAAGCAAATTCACAAGGCCTGCAGTAAATCTTGACCTCTATCTCATGACAATGACCTGCGGGAAAAACCAAGGAAAGCCACTACCTTTTGCGCTTTGACATAGTCCTTCTCCAAGTTCGAGATCTTCTGACGAACACTGTTGAGCTCTGAAATTCAAAATATAAAATTAACACACAAGAATCATGAGATAATAAACTTACTTATTGCTTTTAAAAGATGAATACACACAACATCTGCACTTATCACTTTCAACAGACAGCCACACAAGCATTAAATGCTAATGCACTTTGTTAATATTTAACAGGCCAATATAATGCAAGTCAACATAATAGCCTGCATACCTGACCTTAGTGTTTTTCAAGAGAACTCAAGGCTAATAATGTACTGAAGTTATCCGTGAGGTCTTAAAATTAAAATTGGAACATCATAAAATCTCTGTGAAATAATGCACTGTTGATTAATAAAAGATCAGTATCGATTCATTTAGTCTTTTTTTAACTCTAAAAAAATCCATTATGACTAGCATGCATATCTGGCATTATTTATTAAGTAAAACTGCTAATTTGATTGATATTAACTGTTAAAAAAGGTTTATATACCAAAAAACCTATTATCATGATTATTTAGCACAAGAGGACATATTAAAATACTTTAAGGATCACAGTTTAGCAAGAAAATACAAATAATTTACTACTTTAAATCTTTATACTTTGCCACTATGCATCAAATCATAAGGTAGGGTAAGGTAAAACTTTATTGTCCCAGTTAGGGAAATTTGTCTTGGGCTTTTGCCCTCAGCTGCAGTCATCACATACATAGAAAAACTCTACAAACATTCAAAAAGAAGACGTGTAAATAAATAAATCCAAACCCCACACCCAAAAAGTTACATACACACCTCCATATATATATACACATAAGACAAAAAGAAATACTATTAATCCAAGCCACCACTATTTAATTTATTAATGCTCACCGGATAAAGAGTTTTTATATCTGTAGTGATATCTGTTCTGATACACCAATCATTTTCCAGGCAGTGTGAATCAAACAGACCAATTTAGTTCTCAGCTGCACAAACAAGTTAGCAAACCAGGCGGCGATGCCGTGATTTTACAAGTTTGTCATAAGCAAGAGGTTTTTAATAATTGAAAAAAGCTTAATTTAGCATCCTTTATTCCCTTATATATTTTAATTAAAGCTGATTATTTATTATGCTTTATTTTTCCAGAAAGGTCCCACCGAGATTAACAAATCTCTTCATCCAGGGAGCCCTGGGTAAGATAACTGTACCCTGAATTATTAGCCCCATGTTAATTTTTTTCCTGAATTTCTGTTTAATAGAGAGAAAACAAATTATAACAAATTTCTAAACATAATAGTTTTAATAACTTTCTAATAAAATTAAATGATTTATTTTATCTTTAAAATATTTATTTTTCAAGACACTAGTATACAGCTTATAGTGACATTTAAAGGCTAGTTTAAATTTACTAGGTTATTAGGTAAACTAGGCAGATAAGGGTATTTAGGCAAGTTATTGTATAATGATGGTTTGTTTTGTAGACTATTGAAAAATATATAGCTTAAAGGGGCTAATAATATTGGCCTTTAAAAAAATTTAAAAAAGCTTTTATCCTAGCCGAAATAAAGTAAATAAGACTTTCTGCAGAAGAAAAAAAATTATCAGACATACAGTGAAAATTTCCTTACTCTATTAAACATCATTTGGAAAATATTTAAAAAATAAAAAATAAAAAGGGGCCTAATAATTCTGACTTCAACTTTATAAGAAGTATGATATTTGTTCTGTTCTGAATGACAGTTAAATATTCATCCATACTTTGTCTGTGCATAAAAATAAAAAAACATTAGACAATACACTTTTGTTGAATTTGATATGCTTTCTATAACTTAAAAAAAATCACTTGTAAAGCCCCAAATTCAAACATCTTGTCTTGCCCCCATATTATCTAGCATCATTTAAAACATGGGTGCCTAATGAAGGGTGATGAAAAAAAACCAAGCTTGATTGAGGATGGTGGGCTGAAATATATCAAAAACTCTATTCCATTAAAGTTTCCATTGGTGATTTCCTAATTTATTTAATATTAAAAAAATAACTAGAAAACATTGTTTTATATTAACTAATGCAGTATATATCTCTTAATATAATAATGAACTTATTACAGTTAAAAACATTCTCGTTTATAACAGAATGGAGTTACACTAGTCAAGCTGCATCTGTTTCTGCCTTGCTTTGCTCACCAATGTCTGCCGTATTGTTCTTTTTCCATTGAGTGACAGTACTTTTATATTTTTAAAAATCGGTTTCATTTACAAACATGTAATTAAAACATTGAATTCCACTTTGCTTTTTTGTAGCTCAGCAATAAAACAAACAAACAAACAAACAAAAAAAGGTTATGTTTAATTAGAAATTACGATCTGTTAAAACCAATTGCTCCCATCATTCTAACTCTCATGGGATGGGATGGTGGGCCAAATCAAAGGTTACAATGGCCAACTTTGGCCCTCGGGCCGTAGTTTGGGCATCTCTGATTTAAAAGGTCAACATCATAATTTGTCAAGGAATTACATACTTTTTTCTTAAAATGTTTGTGATTTAAAATATCCAAAGTATTAATTTGATCTATCAATAATTTAACAAACATTTGCATGTTCATGACTCTCTGATCTCGTTTCATGGTCACATTACATGCACATGAACAAAACTTTTTTTTTTAATAAAAAAAATGTATTTGCATTGTTTAATTTTATATTACTTATATTAATCTTAATTTTACATTTAATGATTTCATTATTCACAAAAAACACTTGAGAAATACTAGGGAAACCAGTTTGTAAGCAAAACAAAAGCTTACTGACAATTTAATTCATACACTTTCAGAAACGGAGGTATTTAATTCATACACTATCAGCAATTTTCAAAAAGTACACATTTGTAACCGATAATATGACCTACCAGTACCTTAAATATACATATTTGCACCCTAACGTATCTAAAGTGTATCTCTGAGGTATTGCTGTGGACCCCTCGAGCACGCTGGCTCGAGTCCCAGCTGAGTCACTTGGCATTTCTGTGTGAAGTTTGCATGTTCTTTCTGTGTTGGCGTAGGTTTTCTCCGGGTGCTCCGGTTTCCCCACAGTCAAGCTGGTTTTAGCTCACAGGAGTCAAACTCAGTTCCTAGCGGGCCAGAGCTCTGTACAGTTTAGATCCAACCCTAATTAAACACACCTGATCAAACTAATTGAGTCCTTCAGGCTTGTTTGAAACCTGCAGGTGAGTGCGTTGAAGCATGGTTGGAACTAAACTTTTTGTGGCCCTCCAGGATCTGAGTTTGACACCTATGTAGCTGATCATTTGCCAGCTTGACCAGCTAAGACCAGGCTGCAAATGGCTGACACCAGCCTGAAAATGGCCAAAAACCCTCAGAAATCAGGCTATTTGACCATGCAGCTAAAACCAGACATCCAGCTTAGATTGGTTTCACCTGTTTTTTATTTGTTTTGTTTTTTTTTTGTTTTTTTTCAACATACTTGCCACTTTTAATCATACTGAACCTCTTCTATAGCTAACAAATAATGTGGCATATCAGTACCTCAAATATACATATTAGCACCATAATGTAACTAAAATGTAACTTTAGGTACTATTGAGGTACTATTATGGACCCTTTAGGTATAAATATGTATCTGTCGAAAAAGAACTGCCCCAGTGACAGCTCCTATACCTTTTTTTTTTTTTTTTTAAAGAGCCATAATTTAATATTTAGCTGTTCAAACACCACATCTTAGTGCTTCAACTAGATTAACCTCTGATTTAAAACTGGTACGACTAGCCACCGGCGAAAGAAAATTAAGACTTGCTGAATTACAATTAGAAAGTTATCTTTATACATCCACAATAATTGTAACTATCTAATGTATTTTTTCTGTTTTTTTAAATATATGCATTATCAGTTTTTTGTACTATCTCTGTAATTCTGTTGCACTGTAGAAGTTCTGTCACGAAAACAAATTCCTCGTATGTGTGAACATACCAGACAATAAAGCTCTTACTGATTCTGATTCTATTAAAATTATTTTTCAACCTTATTACATTTAGCAAGCTAACAGCTTTAGCTAACACAGTCTCAGTCCACTCTGATGAGCTTCACATTCAGCCATAAAGCTGAAACTTTTACATTAAAAGTGTCCAATTATTACATAATTTAGTACATTTAATTGTGTTAAACTTTCTGAACAGTTTAAGACATTTAGACAACAAAATGTGTCCAATTCAACAACTCCTACACCCAAAACAAACTAAATTAAAATATGCCAAATGTTCAGCGAACTAAATGCATTTGATTTCAATAACAAACTGAAATCTCACATGATGCAAACAAGTCAGCTGATCAGTGTCTTGAATAAATAAAGGTTTAGGTTTACAGTCTCTACTCACCCGCTGTATTTTTCCGCAGCTCATCCGACAGTTGGTAATTCTGTGTTCTCAACTCCAAGAGCTGAGCCTAATAAAACACACAATAAAAATGTAAGATTATTAGAGTAACACATTGAGATATTTAAATGCAGATATTACTGAACAGAAATGATGACAACAAAAACAACCCATCATTATCAATGCAGCCTGGAATTCTTTATGCTATGAATCTTTAAGCTATCAATCTAATCTTAATGCAGTAGTTGTTTGTAACGTGTATTTACGTAATGGAAACATTTAATTAAAGAGACTGGTTGCTATGAAACTGAGTATCAGATGCATCTGAGGTTGTAAACAAAGGCATGCTGATGCAAAACAAGGGTGAGATGATACTCAGCAGCCTAATATTCTTAAGAAACACCTCTCAAATACAAAATGTGTCATTTACAAATCATATAACTTCGTAGAAAACCATTTTAACAGCTGTTTGGTGAGCTAACGGTGCTAATGGCCATTAATTAGCTACAGGTTAGCGTGCTAACATGCTAAACACATCCTTGCTACACGCCCTAAATTTGTCAAAATGACAGCACATTTCGTGTCATTTCAACGGACATTATTTTAATAATCCTAACCAACAAACACATTGATAAAATAATTGTAACTATCTATTAAAATTATTTTTCGACCTTATTACAGTTAGCATGCTAACGGCTTTAGCCAACAGTGCGCTCTGATGAGCACCAGATTCAGCTATAAAGAAGAGACCTTTACAAACATTTTCATCGGAATCGGTGGTAAATACGTTCAAAGTGTCGTAACTGGATTACAGGCTGTGTTTGATGTCAAACCCAAACATAAATAAAGAGATTTTTACCTGCATGCGATGGAACTCCTCTTCTGACAGTGCTTGCGCCATCTTCGTCACAGAAAAACACCAACGTTACCAGACAGAATAAAAACTCTTTCAACTATTACTATATCTCCTGGTCCTTCTGTATTTCCAAATTAACTGACATTCTGATAGGATGAAGGTTAAACCAGCTTCTTTCCTCTGTCGCCCATCTAAAGGCTTTGGCTTGGTGACAGGAGCATCACCATAAGTAATGACTGCACCTGTCCTGAAGATGGCGCACTTGAACAACATATACAGTGTTTGCACCATCTATTATTCACTGCTGCAGTTGTTATAAAGAACAGACGACATGGGCTGTGTCTCAAAATTCTTGGCTGCATCCGAAATTACACCTTTCCTACGCCCTATGAGGCTTTGCATGAATTATTGGCGTAACTTCCGTTAAAATGTGACATTATATTCCTCACTGTTCATAAAGTTTTAACAAAAAAGGAAATTAATTTACTGTTAGTGCCTATCGAATACCATTAATCAAAATATCCTATTTTATAAAAACCAGCCTGGAAAAGGCCAAAACCTTTCTAAAACCAGGCTGGCCAGGCCCCTGCTTGTTTTTTTCCCCCCACTAAGCTGGTTGGCTAGTTTTAGCTAGTCGGTTAGTCTGATTTTATAGATATTTGGGCCATTTACAGAACTGTCTCATTTAGCTATTTTCAGACTGGCAGATGACCAGCCAAAACCAGCTATTTCCAGCTTAAACAAGGCTGGTCAAGCTGGTTTTAGCTCACATGTGTCAAACTCAGTTCCTTGAGGGCTGGAGCTCTGCACTGTTTAGTTCCAACCCTAATTAAACACACCTGATCAAACTAACTGAGCCTTCAGGCTTGTTTGAAACCAGAAGGTAAGTAAAGTGCGTTGAGGCATGATTGGAACTAAACTGTGCAGGGCTGCATTCCTCCAGAATTTGAGTTCAACATCCCAGTAGCTGGTCATTTCCCAGCTTGACCAGCTAAGATCAGCCTGAAAATGGCCAAAAACCCTCTGAAACGAGGCTATTTGACCAGCTAAAACCAGACATCCAGCTTAGGTTGGTTTAACCTGTCTTTTTGTTCGTTTGTTTTTTCAGCAGTGTCAAACTTGCCACTTTAAATCATACTGAACCTCTTTTATAACTAACCAATAATGTGACATCATGGTTACTGATTATTCTTTGTATATACAGTTACAGAAAAGTTCATTGACTTATTAAGCCTCTGAGTATCATGTGTTTTTTATGACTGTACAACTGTAAAGTGTAATTTGGCAGTAATATGCATTCCTCTGGGCTGGCAACTTGTCATAATGAGGCAATAATTAGTCATTCTAGGTCATAGTCCATAACCAGGCTTCAGCAAAGACTTCCAAAAGTTTACAATTTAAAATCTTAATGATCTTTAAGATCATTAAACTACTAAGGGTAACATTTATTTTGATAAATCATTTGAGTATTAGTAGACTATTTGCTTAATATCTGTTGATACTGCTCCAGACATTTCACTGACTATAAGAAACTTTGCAAGTTCATGTGAAATTACACTGACCCTAACCCCCACCTAACACTCTACTAATAACCTAATAAGAATTAGTTGGCATGTAGATGCAATGTAACTTAAATTCAACAAACGAACTCAAAATGAAGTGTGACCAAAATAATATACTACATATAAGTTACAATTGGTTCTCTGTATTTGCTACTGAATTAACATGTTCATTTGACATCTGACAATATAAACAACTGTTCATAATTATTTTTAAGTCAACTCTTCAAAATATCTTTTACTATAAAGAAAATATATGAAGTAGATGAAATAATGTTTAACATACATTCAACGTGTAGAAATATATTTCTGTAAAAAATAAACAGCACACTTAATTTGAACAGACTTATTTAAAACACATTAAATAAGTGATCATACTACTCCTAAATTAAATTTAAAAAAACATCTGCCGACAGGTTGGTGAGAGGATTGAAGTAAATAACTTAACAATTAAGTAGTATTTTGAAGATGCGCTTAGCAATAATTAGTGTCTTTTATCATGTCATCAAATGGTTCTTGTTCTTAGCATGAATCTTATATTTAAAATAAACCGGAGCACCCAAAGGAAACCCACACGAACAAGGGGAGAACATGCAAACTCCACATAGAAATGCCAACTGACCCAGCCGGGGATCGAACCAGCGACCTACTTGCTGTGAGGCAATCATGCTACCCACTTTGCAACCATGACGCGTAAGTGATCATACTACTCTTAAATTAAATAAAGAACATCTGCTGACAAGTTGGTGAGAGGATTGAAGTAAATATATAACTTAATAATTTATTAGTATGTTGAAGATGTGCTGAGCATTAGAATCTTTTATCATGTCATCAAATGGTTATTGTTTTTAATTTGCATTAATCTTTTGATTTAAATAAACTGTTACATTAAATTACATTTAGGCACATCTTCTGTAAACCATGGTAAAATGTATAATTATTATTTTTTTTAACAGGACATATTAAAAGCAAAGTTATACAAATCTGTATTACCTTAATATTTAAATAATTCAAAACTCCTTTATAGTTATTTAAATCATCACAATATTTAATGTTTTAGTTTTGAAGGTGGGCGACGCAGTGGCACAGTAGGTAGCAAGAAGGTTGCTGATTCGAGCCTCGGCTGGGTCAGTTGGCGTTTCTGTGTGGAGTTTGCATGTTCTGCCCTTGTTTGTGTGGGTTTCCTCCGGGTGCTCCGGTTTCCACCACAGTCCAAAGACATGTGGTACAGGTGAATTGGGTAGGCTAAATTGTCTATAGTGTATGTGTGTGAATGAGTGTGTGTGTGGATGTTTCCCAGAGAAGGGTTTTGACAGGAAGGGCATCCACTGCGTAAAAACTTGCTGGATAAGTTAATGGTTCATTCAACTGTGGCGACCCCGGAATAATAAAGGGACTAAACCAACAAGACAATCAGTGAATGAATGTATGAATTTGGATAGGTCATTTTTGAGAAAGTGCCTCTGACGGTGATGGAAAGATGGACACCAATTTAGTCTCATAAAACTTTTTACAGACATCTTATTTTGTATGCTATCCTAATCAAATTTGAAATATAAACTCATGAAACACTTGGCTTCCAAGTCATACTTTTTCTAGGACATTACATCAATGTTTTCCAGTGTTTGTATATGGAAAAACAAATATTAAATATTTTCTCATGACTTCATAATGTAAACTTTTAAATATTTTTGAGCATGTAACTTTCTCTTTTACCACAGTAAAGCTCAAAGTGTCTTCTTCCCAGTGATGGTGTTTGTAGCTTACTAAGGTCAGGAACTGTTATTATTTAAAGTTAGGTAGGTGTTAATCCCCAAAAGTGAGTGCTGGGTAACAGGTTTGGATTTTTATTTATGAATGAGCATTGCAAAAGACTTATATTGTTCTTACCAATTTAATGTTAATGACTCTTATTACAAATCACATTCTCAGTAAAACAACAAGATAAGGCCAAACTAAAGTGTATACAAATAAAATGCATTATGAATGCACCACACCTATGAAACCACAAACAAGGAAGACTCTGAATATATTTAGCGCAGCCGCTACTCCTATTTTATGCAAACCCTCTATTAAGTTGGAAGTAAAACTGCAACTGGTGTGTGTGTGCTGGTAAACAGCAGGTAACCCAAGGCTACAAGAGAGACATAAAACCAGCGTCTGATGCATTCGCTCTGTCTGATCTCCCCCTGTCTGTGGAAACCCTGCCAGACTGTGAAGTAGTGGAGTATTTTGGAAGGTGACAAATAAAGAGACGATCCTCTTCCTTTTTGATCCACCGCAGCAATTTTGTCAATTCACTGATTGCTGATTTCTTTGTGACAAGTGATGTAAAACAAGCATACATCTCAAACTTGCCTGTGACCTGTAGAACAAGAGAGGGAGAGTTTTAGGAAACAGCAGATCAAATTGCACATAAGCTACCAAGTTTGTGTTGGTAAGATGTTTATGAAATATTATGTGCTCAATACAGTATTACCATAAAATAGTAGCCTTTTGTTGTTTAAAATTTGATGAGTAATGTTTTATTCAATGAATAAACAGTGTTAACATCTTTTAACATGCCTTACTAACATAAATTAGCATGTTGATAGCATCTTGATTAACATAAGATTGGATGAATTGCGTATTTTACGCATGTTTTAAGACATAGCCAATGCTTATCAGTATCCTAACATATTGGTATTTCTCAAGTATGTCTCTAGCATGAATTAGCATGTTGATAAAATGTTTCTATCATTGCTAATGAATACACTGCTATGAATTAGTTAGCATATTTTTACAGATGGCTGTTTAACTATATTTATTTATTTTAGCATGTTTTAAATATCTATCATGAATGATAATAGCTGATAGCATCATGTTTAATGAATTGCTAACATGAATGAGAATGATCAGCATGTTTAGAAACTGTTTAGCATGTTTTTAGAAAGTCAACTGTTAACACGAGTTAACATTTCTAGCATGTTTAACATTTTGCTAGCATGATTTAACCTGTCTCTAGAATGTTTATTGTATGTTTTACCACACAACTGTTTTAGCATGTTTCTAGAAATTTACCAGTTAACATATCATTTCTGGCATGTTTAACATTTTATTAGCACGATTTGACATGTCCATTGTATGTTGCTTGCATGTTTACCACTTGGCTATCTGTTTTAGCATTTTTCTAGTATGTTAACTGTTAAAATGAGTTACTTTTCTGGCATGCTTAGCATTTTCTGGCATGATTTGACTGTTCCTAACATGGTTCTAGCATGTTTGCATGTTCTCCCTGCCTTCGCGTGGGTTTCCTCCGGGTGCTCCGGTTTCCCCCACATGTGGTACAGGCTAAATTGTCTGTAGTGTATGAGTGTGTGTGTGTGGATGTTTCCCAGAGATTTCTGTCATTGAGCTAGCATGATTTGACTTTTTTTTAGCATGATTTGACATGATTGACATGATTTACCACATGACTGTTTTAGCATTTTTCTAGCATGCTAACTGTTAACATTAGTTATTAATAATTGTAATAATAAAAATGTATTTTGTGTAGTACCATTAACAGTTGATTTCTCAAAATGATTTAAAAAACAAGCAACATACAAGCAAAAAAACAATCTTTCAACATTTCTGGAATGTTTAGCATTTGACTAGGATGATTTGACGTCCCTAGTATGTGTCTTGCATGTTTTACTATCTGACAAACTGTTT